TGTGGGAGGACCTCTAATAGAATACCACTTTAATATGAATTTTCACTAAGGTCATTTATCATTTTGGTTGACATCTCTGAAGCTACGGCGGACATTCTATCACCTTCGTTGTAGACATGGTATTAATGCCAAACTTTAAAGCAAACTCAGCCTAAAGTTGAAATTCTTAAAAAGCAATTTGCAACTGGCCAACGAAATGAGATCAAGCCAAATCAAAGATGAAATCTCCACTGAACTTAAAATGAGACTGGCTCTGAGAGGCAGAAACGTTGCCGGCAAATTGATTGCCGTTGGGAAATCGACAATTTCTGATTAAAATATGTAAATTTCTGGCGGCAAAAATTGAGCATGAGATTCGAGCTTCTCAAAGGGGAATGATTACAGAAATGGAACAAATTCCAAGAGCAGTGCACAAATTATGAGAAATCAGAAAACGAGAAATGGCAACCAAGGCAGCAGGAGCAGCAGCAGCAGCGGCATCCTTTAAGGATTTTCCACAATTTTCCTGTACTTTCGCGTTGTCCATTTGCTATCTGCCATCTCAATTGGTATCCTATCATCGAGAGCCCATCTAAAAGTCCTTTCAGCTGCTTCTCCTCCTTTGATTGGCATCCGCGGTTTCTTGAGCGGATCAACGCAATGGCAAAACAAACTGTCTCCCTCTTTTCTATTCAACCAACAAGTCATAGTCCTTGGCAGAGTGTTTTTCCTTCGACAAATGATTCAAGCAAAACCAAAATAAAGGGGTGAAACCGCAATAAAAACTCGGTTATGGCTGGAAAATAAAAAAGGAGACGGATTGGTTAGCGATTGCAATTGAATTCAAATTCCTTCATCCTACTTCAAAGTCAAGATGAAAACGAGACGAGAAACTCCGGCGAGGATTGAGCTCCATCTCCAGTCCCAGCTTCAAGTGAGTTTTCATGCACATCCTTATTCCTGTTTATCCTGTTAAGCTCGTTTGCCACGGCGCCAGTCAAGTGGAGTTTTCCACCTCCTGCATCCCCTTCTCAGGGCTTTCTTTCTTTCTTTTCTTACCCCATTTGAGGGGGCGTGGCACAAGGACATTCGATGCTGCGATTCAGTCTTTTTTAGCCCTGCCTTGCTGTTGGGTTTAAATATTTTATTGATGTCATTTGGACAATTCTCCTCCAGTGCTCACTTGGATGCCTCAGTTCAGATCTCTTTCCCCACTTCACTGGCTGAATGTTTTATTGCTGGCTTGTTGATATTTTTATCATTCCTCCGCTTTCACTTCCGTCTCCATCCGACTTTCCACTTAATGCGCTCTAAGTGTTGTCCTTCGATTGTTATCCCCAACGTCTATTGTTGTGGCTCAAATGCTGAAATCAAATCAAATTTGATACGGCTCATTTGTGGCAATTACAAGGGAATGAAGGGAAGTTGGCTTATTCAAATCTGGGTTGAGTGTTATCTGGGCCAAAGTTTGTGGTTTGACCAATAAAGAAAATATTTATCTCTTCAATTTTATGGAGATATTTTTCGTATTTTCTTTCCTTATTGTTTCCGATTAATGGGAAATGTACTTCCCTGCCATTCCACATATTTGAACTTATTTTGTTCTTCCTCTGTAATAAAGAACTCTTCCTGAGAAGACCAAAAGTATGGCAAGGATGTTCCACAAAAACTTTCTTCCACTGGCATATGTTGGCCCCCCCTCACCCTCGCTTATGTAATATATAGAGAGTATGTAAGGAAATATCTCTGTTGTTAGGCTCGCGAGGCATGCACAAAGACATTTTGGCCCCAGCTCGCGTTTTGCGGCCTAAAAAGTATGCAGTCGCAGCTGCATTCATTTTCCACCAGATTCCGTGGATTTTTCGAAAGTTTTCAACAATGGAGAGCGAATAAAAAGACCCCGCAGCCAATGCAATGGGTTAATAATGGAATGGGAATGTCATTTCTTTAAGTATTTCAACATATTTCGCCTCAAAGCCATAATTTCCAGTTTATTTGGAATTTAAACTTAATTCCAGTTCATCTGTTATGTTACTTATTTTGTTTTATTGAGTTTATTAACTTTACATTAATGCAATGCCTCTTGCATTGCGCGGAAATTGTTTTGAATACTTCATTTCAGCAGTTTTCGTTGGAAAATTCATCGTTCTTGCCATCATTCTTGGCGAAAACTTTGTCCAAACAGATTGCAATTGCGAAAGCGGAGAAGGCAAATAACCAGGAAAAAATAGCAAAAATAATTTCCCTTTTATGCAGATGAGTCCTGCAGTTCGCAGTGTCCGTTTTTGTAATGAAATTGACATCTTGTGTCGCGATTTCAAGCTGATTTCCTTTTTGTTCCGCTCTGTTATGTTCTTTTAGCATTTCGAATTTCCTCATCAAGCATTTGGGATTCTCCACAAAAACTACTTTTTCCTTTTTGGGTTAAAAGCAACATTTAATATCCTTTCTCTTCCTTTTTTTCTTTCATACTGTTTCTCAATTCAATTTCCGCATTTGCTGGGCTTCCTTTTGCCTCAGAAAGAGACTGAAATATGGAACTGAAACATATATTAAAGAGCTTACTAACTTTTTAAACTAATTAACACTAAATCAAATGCTTTTTTTCGGTCAATTCACTTTCGAAATCCGTATTTTTCTCTATAATTTATATTAATTAATCAGTTATCATATTTTGTATAATATTTTCATTATTATTACCTTGAATTCGACGTTGTATTCAACTATATAATCGATATCCGGAGGCGACAATAATTTGTAAGCCTCAGTAAACCATTATCATGATCGTCCACATCCGATGGGATGCCTCATTAACCATGGCAGCGCGGGTTGCACTTTCAAATGATTAAAAACCGTAATGAAAAATGCATGCTAAAGTTTGGTGCGTTTGTGTCATTGAAATTCAAGTGAGACACCGCCATCCGCCCCCCCTCAAACCCACAATCCCTGCTGTTAAACCCTCAGACATCACACGTCCGCATAATAATTAAATTGAATATGGCAATTTTACGCAATTTCACTTGTTTTTATGCCTTTACGAGGGGGTATTATGATTTGGCTGTGACATTTGGTAGGAAAAAGTATTTTATGTATTTTTGTAGAATTTCTTTCTGTAAGTTAAATACCAAAAACTTTAATACTTTTTATACACCAGGTACCAAGAGCCATCTGGCGAGGGATATGGGAACGACGTAGATGATGGCTGGAACGATGATTGTTCGAGAAGAGTTGTCAACGAAAAGAAGTAAGACATGAAGACGATTTAATTTTAATAATATTATTTAAACATATTAAGTAACATAATGTTAACATCAGTGTAATTAAATAAAACCCCAAATAGATATTTTTTCGCTTCGATGACTGTCGAGAAAACTCAAATTGTATAAGCATTTAAAGGGTATACAAGACTTCGACCTCCCAAAACCCCTTCCTTTATAACATCGTTGTTATGGTTGCTGTAGTTTTTCTCTTTGGAATGGGTATTAAAAATGGATACAATAAAATTGCATAACGAATAAAATGCGGTCAGAATGAATTGGTCTTCCTGGCCTTCCTCCTTGCTAGATCGGGGGGAAAAAAAAAAAAAAATATTACCAGGTTAATTGTTTATTAATGTTTTCCAGGGCCTCGTTTTTTTTTTTTTTTATTATTGGTTGGTGTTTATTTTTGTTAATATTAATGTTTGGTGTTGTTTGCGTGGCGATTGTTTAATTTGGTTGCTAATTAAGCATTTAACACATCATTCTTGTTGTTCGCCGATGCATATCATTTTTATTTCAATTTGCTCACATTCATTACTTGCCGTGACGCTCTCTCCCTCTCCACTTCTGAATGCCATTGAGTTGGTTGGTTTATTTGTCTTTTTTCGGGATTTTTATTTAATTTAATGCCTCAGTTACAACTCATTTTATATGCTTAAATACATGTTACATAAGTGTATGCGTGTGTTCCTTTGTATATACCAAGTCTATAATTGTATATAATGTTATATATCCATATATATATATATATATATATATATCTTTGTGTCCATAGCTCTGCGTTCAATCCAAATATATTTTTCTCATCATTCAACATGGTTGCCTGCTTCTAGTTTAATTTGTTTTTAAAGCAACACAATTTTAATTTCGTATTATTTTAGCTTAAATGTTTAACATTTCGTTTAAACTTTACATTTATGTTAATCCGCTAGTTACATCGTAATTAAATTGTTGGTTTTTGATGACCGAAAGAGATTTTATCTGATGAGCTGGTGTGTAAATATTTAATGAACTGAATTAAAATGGGGATTGCTAAGCGAATTATTGAAGTTATAAAATGATAAACAGATTATAAAGGTGATACTTTGGGTGTTATAGTTTAGTATTCTGATTGAAAGGTTTAATAAGGTTTAAACTAAATCAAAACTCTGTGAAATCTCTTCCCAAACTCAACTTTTTCTATATCTTACTTATAAGTTTAACCAGTTTTTAAGCTTACTTAAACAATTTCCATGATCGATATGTGTGTGGTGGCTTAATTTTCTAGATTTAATTTGCATTTCAGCTTGCAATCCTTAAGGCATATGCATAATAATATAGTTAAGTGTCTGTTAATCTATATGCAAGTGTGAGTCAGCAGCGTTTAACGCACGAATATATAAAGATGTGTTATGGTATATAGATCGTGGTATACTATATATATATATTATGTGGTAACTATGAAACGTTCTCAGTTTGAAGCACAGCATGGAAAGCAAAATGAAATTGCATTTACCCTTTGGTTGGTTTATCTTACAACCTAGACATAGATGGTGATTATGACTCTATATAGATATAGATTTGTGTCTGATGGCGTTACATATACATACTATATATATATATATATGTTGACCAAGATCAAGCCTGGTCTGTCACATATATATATACTTTTTGGAATATATATGGGGAAAGGGCGGATCGTAATTAGGGTCTGTTTCACTAGGGACTAGTACATATTATATATTTTATTTGCTAACTTTATGTGAAGCCTTACAGCCATACATAGTTGAAACAGCTAACTCTAAGCTTGATTTGCATTAACTAACATAGACTTAGGCTAGGGCTAGAACCAACCGCAGATCGGATTGTTAACAATAATGTCGAGCTGAGGACCAACAGCCACGCAATGGCCATTGAAGGATTGTGGCCTCCATTGGTTTCCGCATCGGCCTCGTTGGCATTGCCATTGGCCACGAGGGGATTCTGGGTCTTATCTAGGAAGGATTTTTGTTCAGATAAACCGATTTCATTCAAATTCGATTGATATCGCGTATCTGAATGGTTTGATTCATGGCCATGAAATGTTGGGCATGGAATGAAATAGAGAGCACAAATAGAAGCCGAAGAAGAGATCGTGTGAGTAGGGTAAGAGTGATTCGGTGATATAAGTAAGGGTGCTGGGGTATAGAAAGAATTTATATATGATATATCTACTCACTTTTATCCTGTGCATATATAGAACGCGTTGAGTCAGAGCCACCGTAGGCATAGTTGTTGTTGATCCCATTCTCTCCCCAATGCGAATCGGTGGAGTATATGCCCGACGAGGCAGTAGTCGGAGGATAGGATACTGAAATAAGCAAAAAAAGAGGATTATTTATGAATAATAGTTCTAACCAATCTCTGTTTTTGTTAACAACACAATCCAAATACCTAGTAAATCTTTTGACTCTTTAAAAATACCTACTTAATGACAGCCATAACAATAATAATAAGCTCCAATTGTTTACAATTGAGTCCTTTAAAAGGACAACTCTCAGTTCATTGTGGCCAGGCATTGTATTGTGTTTTCATTTACTTTGCATTTATTTGACACACCACATCGGTGCACAATGGCAAAAATAAATATGTTTCTATTTGTTGAAAATGTTTCTTGTTTTCATAAAATTTACATTTTTTCAATTTGGCATTTACAGCACGTTCGTTATATAGGTAGATACATTTTTTTATTGTTTCGATTTCCGTAATTTTGTACTTATTTAAATTTCTGACGCAGTCTCACTTTACTGATTTTTTCCCATCTCATTCTGTATAATTTTTGCAGTTGTCTCTGGCTGGGCATTTCATACGGCCTCAGTGGTTTATGCGAAATGCTAATTATTTTGTATTTTCATAATAATGTGTCAATATGCATATTTTTGCCCTCGCCGCGGGGGCGTCCCAGAAATTTGTCCATAATTAAAGCTCTTCGTTCGGTTTCGGCTGTCCCATTTCAATTTGTTGATATTAAAATTCGAATGTTGAAATTTATGCCTGGTCATTTTGGAAAACAAATGCCGCATTTTGGATATGCTAGCTCCGAAATATTTTAATATGGAATGTACCTTTGGGCGAGATGGCATTATGATGGGCATTTGCCAAAATTTCAAATTAATTAATATGTCAAATATATTCGCTTTTTGATATAATTTGTAAAATTGGAAAATATCTGAAACCATTCCTTTAAACAGACACTGCATAATTGCATCTCCCGTATTTGCTATTTTTACAGTCTTCAATCTGGGACTAGACTTTCAATCCACTGCCAAGAAATGGGCATAACAGTTTCCCTCCCAATCGATAACTTAAAAACGTAGCCAACCGTTGAATCCATCACGTAATTAAACTAAATACGTGATATTAACTTGCCAGCAATCTCAGAGCACATACACGCATATCAACTTTAAAGCCAAGTTCGCCATTGGCTCATATGAGACGCTCCTTCAGTGGAAACTTCTCCGCCTTCCAGTGTCGGGATAAGCCAGAGTCAGAGCAGCCTGCCCGAAAATTCCACACCTTGGTAGAGGGACGTGACTTGATTTTTCACTGGCTTGATTATGGCCAACCCCCTATCCCATTTTCGGGTGACTATTTCGGTTCGTTGGGGCCAAGTTCTACATGGCTCAAAAAGGAGGAGGCGGGAGGAGAGTGAGAGTGCTGCCTGCCTGGTTGCCTACAACTCGCAGACAGGCAATTAAGTCAGGCCACGGATGTGGTTGAGTTTTTTTCCTTGCTCTCCCGTTTCGTTTTGGCCTTTCATTTGGGCTTTGTCCCTGGCACGGACAAACATCTAAATGGCTTAGATTTGTCAATTCGTGTTAAGGCCAATGCGGTAGTTTTTCAATGCCTCGAGTCCTTTTATTGGACCCGCTGGACACGGAGAACTTAATTAGTTGGGATTGAACTGGCAATTCAAGAACTTTAAGAAAGAAAAGCATTCCGTCTTTCTAACCGAATCTAAGTTCTTAAATAACTAATTAAACGTAAAAGATTTTCTTGTTTTCAACTTACCGTACAATCGTATAATGCCATCCGTTTCACCTCGGGGATTTTTGGCCACACACTTGTAGATGCCATCATCGCCGCTGCTCACATTGATGATGGTCAACTTCATGTGGGTCTTATAAGCTGGCACTCCGATTGTGGCTTCAACTCTGTAACAGAAAACAAAATTCAAAAGTAAGAAAATTAACCTATATATATACGATATCGTATATAGTTTTGTCACTCACTTGTACTTGTGCGAATCGTGGATGATTGGTCCCTCGCCACGTGTCCAATAGTTCAGAGATGTGGGATGTGCCTCGGTGAAGCATTCGATGGTGACGTTGAAACCTTCTGGAGCACCAACCAATTGATGGGGTATAAGCAGCATTGGGGGAACTGAAATTGCGATGTAAAAATATTTCAATTTTATTTCCAAATCATAAAACTGCTCTCCAGCCATTTCTGTAATCAAAAAAGTTCAACTCAGCAAATTCATAAGCTCAACTTGCAAGTAAACTTGTGGTCAAGTTCTCTATAATTCATTTCAGTTACTTTGAAAGTTATTTCTTCTTCATTTTTTTTTATTGACAAACAAACAAAGTTGCAAGACCAAAAAAGATATATGTATATATATGAATATATATTTCATATATATATTTTTGCCTGCTGTTTTTAGGTTTATGCAAATGCTCTCTTTTAGTTTTGATTTAAGCAGGCATTTTCCTCTCAGACTGATTTTCATTTAAATTGCAAGTCAAGACGAGTCACCAAGAGAAAGTTCTTGAGCCTCGCAAACGAAAACGAAGAAAAAATCAACTATTTTCCTTTCAACGAAATCTTATGAATAGCATTATTCGGGATTTTTCTCATCTTGAGTCGGCTGCACCATCTTGCACTGCCTGCACCTTAGTAATTATGTGCGAGGACATCTATGGAAATGCAACCTTTGCCACCTCGAAAGACCAAACAAAAAAGAAATACCGCACACTTCAGGCGCATTTGGCGCACATTTTTAATTAAGATATTAAATGGGAAAATGTCGCATAGAGTGGGACTAATGAACACTCGAGCACTACGCTTTTCCCATAGTTATTGTCAGCATCCGGAGCGGCATCAGCATCAGGATCTTCATCATCATTAAGGGGCACAATGGATATATTCTTTGGGAGTTTTTCTGCCTTGTCATTTGTCTGCCTGCCTGTTTTACCTTTTGTTGATTTATGTCCACCAAGAGTTGGCAATTAAGCTGAAGGCTAACGAAAATGGGCAGGGAAAAAAGGATTGCTCCTCACCCTCCCCACCTGATGATGATGATGCTCCAATTGAATTTTTAATCAGCTTGGACACAAATTAGCGTTGGTCCTGGCTGGCTTTTCTGTATGCTTATGAAAAGTAACTCGTGGATCTTTTGTATTTTTGATGAGGTGCTCAGAGCCATCAGGGTTGGGTATAATCCTTTTAATCAAAATAAGCTTAAGTGTGACAAAGTGAGCAGCTTAATTAGCCTGTCAGCGAGCTGTTGGGTCAAGTGGGTTAGTGAAGTGCTCGGCACACCAATTATGACCAACAGCAGAGATACTAAATCCAATTTTCCATCTTTGCTTTTCAGATTTTCCAATCTAGCAATAATATTTTGATTGGCATATTCTTTAATATAAACATGAAGATTTTTGTTTGATTTTTCAGAACTTATGGAGGGAAAACACACATAGGAGACAGCCCGAACAATTTTAAAACAACTGTGACAGCTTGCATATGTCCTTTGGCAAGGATACACATACATTTACTACTACCAGGCACACACACTCATATACACGCATACGTTTATTTTTGTGGCGTGCGTTGCTTAGCAAGCAGGAAGCAACAAATTCAGTTTCTGTTTCCGGTTCCGAAGAGAGAACGGTTCTTTTGCGTACATATTTCTGACTGCATACTGATTTGTTGCCTTTGTGCAACCGAAATAGCAAACTTCGCCGGCACATGGGGCAACATATGCTGCAAACGACCCTTAACCTGTCCCAATCCAAAAGGAAACCGTCCATGGCAAAAGAAACCCGAAAAGAGCGAAACATTTTCCCTACTAATTTCGTATGCAGTACAGATATTCTATATTGATATAATTTTTGTTCATTTTTCCCTTTTCCCCAGACAAATTTTGAGCGGAGCTTAAGCGAAAGTCAAGCAGAAATCACCTTGAAGTTGTCGTTTCCTTTTATTTCCATTCATTTTAATTGCCCACACAAAAAGAAAAGGGCGGAACCAAGGACTCTGAAAAGCGCAGGAGTCGAGTGAATGCGCTGGCCATGGCATGGCAGGACAAACATTTGTCCCGGATAACAGCTTCTTCCACTCCCTTCGAGGCACTGATTTAAATTACAATTGAGTGGCGACAATATTGGCGAAAGGAAAGCCAGAAAGGCAGTAGAAGCAGGCGAGTCAAGCAGCTGTTAAGTGCCACAAGGACTCGCGTTGAGTCAACAATAATTTAGCCCGGTCCTTGTGATGGTAGGGTAAGGTGGCTTGGACATTGAGTGACATTCTTTTCTTTCCGCTCTCCCACTCCAACTTCAACTTCAGCTCCATAGAAAATAGCAAAGAAAATGGCAAAAAAGGTGAGCTGACTACGAGTGTAAACAACTTGAAAATTAGCCGTTAATGAAGCCTCGTTAAGGGGTTGCAAGATGGCCGAGAGAAGGAGAGAGAGAGAGGATTACTGTTCAAGTGCCACTATTGTCGAACAGTTGCGGACCATTGATTGCACTGCCAAGGGGGAAAAGTCCTGGAAAAATCCTGGGACAATATTTGTGGAATTAGTGTGGGTCGAAATGGGAATCATCTTCATGGCATTGACTTGATTGTCGCACTAGAAATTGCGTCTGGTATCCTTTCTTCTGGCTGAGCTGGGCAATCACCGATTGTAAAGGACTATCAGTGGATTGAATAGGGTTATTTTAGTGGGCGGGTTAAATTTAGTAATAATACAAGTTTTTAAACGTTTCTTTAAAGCAGGGGTGCTCAAAGCCTATGCTCTGAGTGCTCATCATAAATGCTCGCCCTATTTTTTCGTTTTCCTCTTTCTGCCTCATTCCGTCGCCAATATAAATTGTTTTTGTTTCTTCCTCGATCATCCTCGAACTCCTTGCTATTCCACTAACAGTTTTTTGGTTTTCCTCTTTTCGCATCAGTTCATCGCTAACTGTAATATACGGTGTGTTCGAAAGTAAGGTGACTCTTTGCTATTTCGCAATTAACAATTTTTCGATTATCAAACCTTTTGAACTTCTTTTCAAATTTCAAATTTTCAAATTTGATTATCTTCAGTTTGACAAGAAAAAGTCACATGGGGCCAACTGCTGAATATTGTGGTGTTGTTTTTGTGCCAAAAAATTCTTTGATCCATATTTTCGATAGCAAAAATCGCCGAGCTCGCAAAATAACTTATACCTCTCACAACCAAACAAAAAGGATGTTCCATTGAACTTGGTACAGATGTTAGGGAAGAGTGTACCAATATAACAAAACAAAAAAATCGATAATCGAAAAATTTGAAATTCGCGAAATTTGAAGAGTCACCTTACTTTTTGAACACACCTCGTATGTTGTTCTTGTTTTTTCGTGGATCATCTTCAAAAACTTGCACTGGAATTCATTCCTATTAACTTCTGTTTTCACTTTGGAGTTTAGTTCGCAATGGAGTATTTGGCGAGTCAAGAAAAAGAGTGATGAATTGTTTAGCGAAAAAAGTGGTTTTCTTTCTCACAGTGCACAGCTGAAAACCAACACAAAAGGGTCACTAAATATGTGCACACTTTCTTATATCTGTGTTAGTAAATGCCCTGCCGTAAGACGTTGAACTTAGAGGAATGTTACACTGTTTAAGTTATTGATAAAGATTCTCCTTTTGGAAAGCTGAATAAAGGTTTATCCATGACATATTGACATAATGATTAGTAACGTTTTAAAAAAATGTCATAATTTCTAACTACAATGGTAGATTTATTCAGGGAAGTTCGATTGGTGTTTTCGCGGAACTTTCATTTTTTTAAAGATTTTTAAAGCTTTAATTTTATATAAAAACAAATTTTATTGTGAAAAATTTGACAAAAAATAAACAAATTTTTGTGTTTTTCAACCAGCTGACCATTTGCCTACACAACAATTTCGCCGCTATTGCGTTTTAGCTACAACAATTCCATCTAGAGGTATCTGCACACACATCGAACAATTTCTCTTTTTATGGAGGACATCTGCAGCAATCAAGGTATTTTCCACTCTTCTGTTTGTATTTTTTCACAATTTTTCATTTACTTTCTTTTTGTGATTCCCTGGCGCAAGTGTAATTTGTATTGCACTTTTTGCTGGCCAGAGGTTAGCCACGGCCGACTGTTAACGGAAACTGGAACTGGTTTCGGCCCAGTTTGGTTTTAGTGCGGCGCCAAGGGAATTGGAACCACTGTTCGACGGAGGTTTGTTTGTTTGGTTACAGCAGCGAATGTCGGTGTACAAAACAAAAATAGATTTATGCTTGCGGCATTTTTAAGTGACAGCAAACGAGCAAATTTCTGTGACGACCACAACCACGGCAACGCCCACTGAAAGCCGCCAGCCCCGGGGCATGACAGGACTTGACAGCACATGTGATGTGTCTGTCGCCTGTAATAAATCTTAAAAAAGTGCACAACAGCAAACGCAGTGATTTGATTCGTTTCTTTTTTTCTACCATTTTTTATTTTGTTGAGCTGCAGCTGTATAAGCCACAAACTGCGGCAGCTACAAGTGTGTTTCCGATTGAAAAAAGTCGTTACCATGGGCCTCTTTGTGAGGATTTTCTAAAAGGACTTTGTAGTGAGATGTGAAGTGCGGATTAAGGACCAAGGAACTGGGTTCCAGTAGTATATGATTTAAAAATAAAATATTACAAAAATACTTTAGGATTTAACCAAAGGAATTCCGCAAAAAAAATTATAAAATTTGTCTAAAATATCCTAAAAATAAATCATGGATATCTTTTTTTTAATAATACCTACTTTCCCCTGAGTAAAATATGGAAAATGGGAAACAAAATGAGTTTCTGGCTCAATTTTTAAAATAATAATTTAAATTATTATTAAGTTATGAAACAAAGTTAAAAGTCTTACGTTCCACAGTAATTTCAATCGCTCTCTAACATCTCTTCCTGGGATCCCTGGATGTTCGACTTTAATCCTTTTCCGACAAATGGAAATATGAGCGGCAGCGAGTCAGAAAAAGGAAAAATATAGCTGACGATTTCATAAGCCAAACAAAGTTCCCAGAACGCACATAACAAAAAATAAATTGAAAACCAAAAAAATTGGAAAAAATAGAGAATTTGAATAGAAACAACATCGTTTGTATTTAGAATTTAGTCAACTTTCGCGGGGGGAACACGTTATCGAATAGTTAAAAAAAACTGTTAACGTGGCTATATGTATACAGTGAAAAGTGGAGTAAAAAGTGCTGACTTAAAGGGCCAGTCGGTCACTTGATCATTTTATTTTTGTGGGATGTGACAGTCTGATCTATGGTACTTACAGTCCACGCTGACTTTGATGCGCTTGGAAACCGTGGGAGGAACCCCATTGGAGGCGATGCACAGATAGGCGCCCATGTCCAGGCGGGAAATGCGAGTTATTTCCAGGGTGTCGCCCTCCCACTCATTCACTGCGAAAAAAAGACAGCAAAAAAAAAAAAAAAAGGGAGGAAAATGGAAAATGACAGGGGACAGTGCTAAATGATTGATGCAGTGCATCCGCACTTACCTATGTGATTCTTATTGATGGCTATGCGGGAGTTATCGTCCCGTTTCCATTTGATAATGGGTCTGGGACTGCCGCTGGCCCGACACCTCAGCGAAATGTTGGCACCCTCTCGGACAATTACATCGCTGGAGCTCAGCGAGTCATCGATGTTGGGGGGAACTGCAGTGAGTGAAAAATCAGTGGGAAAAATCAGTGGAATAATAATCTGCAATATCCGCTAAACTGTTGCACACCGATAATCCTCTTAAATAGATGCAGTCAGCGACCATTTAAAATTGAACTCTGCCCTCGTATTTATGCATGATAAATATTTGCCAACACAGGCAAACTCCTAGTTCTGGCATCAGGAAATTGCTTTTAATATGACCCGGCATTCGCGCACAGCAATTATTTTCCAATTTTCCATTATTCGTTCAAATAGAAAAGCATTTATTGGCTATGCTTCAGTTTTATATATTCCCATTAGTCAAAAAAAAGGTTTTCCCTTTTGGTCTAATATAATTATTGACACTCAACTGGCTTTCTATATTAAATTTGATTAGAAAAAACATTTGGTTTCTTCTCTTCTGAAATAATTTTTATATATAATTTTAAAGTTTCGTTAAATGCCTGATATTCGGTGTGCATATAATTTCGTTTCGTTTTTCTCACATTTTTTAATTAAAAGCACGCGCATTCGCTTCCCTTTTTCCACAAATATCGCATGCATTTTTAATAATTTGTTTGTTGTTTGCCCGGGCAGGGAAAATAATTTCGCCTGGGCAAAGGATTCACTGAACTGTGCTCCGTTCCGGAGTACTGGCCCTCGTCCTGATTCCAGGATTCGGCGGCTCTGGACGGCTCCACTTTGCTGCCGGCTTTCTCCAATTTTCGGTTTTTGTTTTTCGGCTTTCTGTTTTGTTTCTGGCCATGTTTGCACCCCGCTTTAAGGCACATAAATTATTTTTTAATTCGCCGCGTATTTGCACAGGATTTTCGAGGAGCCCTCCTAACATCCCTACCTTAAAATCCCCAGAGTACTCTGCCGTGATTAGATTCCACCATAAACCTACCCACAACGTTCAGGTAGCCAAACTGCGTTTTGGCCGTCACCGTATTGATCTGGCACATATATCGACCCCGGTCCTCCTCGTGCACGTTGTTTATATGCAAATACCACGTGCGGTGCCGGTCGTGCTTGTCGTGCGTGACACTAATGCGCGGATTTCGCGTGATCACGTGATTGTGAACGGTCAGGATGGCCGACTGCTCGAAGTGCATCCAGGCGACCTGAAAAGAGAAAGTGGATATACAAATTTTAATAAGTATAAAAAATATATACAAAATTTAATTTAATTTAATTAAGAAACCTAAGCCAAAGATTTATCATTTAGTGCTTTTGCTTATATTCGTAGATTAGGGTTAGGTGTTATATCTAATTTAGCTAGGCTAGTAAAAGCTCCAACCTGCAATCTTATTTTTGAATCATACCTTGTTACTATTTAGCGACCTTTCAACCACTGCTGGCACTTATAAAAAGGGAACTTTTTAATAACATCCTAACGTCCGTTTAGTTTTGTTAGTTCTGTCACTACCCACACACTCACAAGCTACGTAGAACACCCAGCAATTTCACAGCTCAGCATCAGCAGTCAAAATGGAGAAGAAGGCGGAAAAAAATGGTGGGAAAATGTGTGGCAGAGAGCGGAAGCGAGAAAATTGCATCATAGTGTCGCATATAAAAATAAACGCAACCGGTTACAAGTTCCAGGATGTTCAGAGGATCCTGTGTGTGTGTGTGTGACTGGGTGTGTGGTGATAGCTATGAATTACATGAAGCCAATATATGTAAGGGAAAGGAAAAGGAAGCCTTACTTACCGACGCCCAGCTACTTAAACATGCTATTCGACTAAAGCTAAACCGGGCTTCTCTTTCTCTCCACCTTGGCTAGGAATTTTCCAAGGGTTTTTTCCATTTACTTGCATGCACTGCACGTTTTGCTTTTCTTGTTGCTCTCATTTACACCTCAATTTGATTCTATTTCCTGCGTTCCGGTAGACTATTGGATGGGTTTTTCTTTGCGGAGTCAACTTGCTAACAAGGCCAGCGACGTTTGGCAGTGATGATGGCTACTTGAGCCCGGAATCTAGCACTTTCGAGTGTCCCCTAATGATGGCCAAAGTCAGTTGCGAGTAAGCTGCTTCCGCTTTTGGTTCCATCCATTCATTCATGGTAATGATCTGTTTAAGCCCTGCCAAAAGCAGTTTGACATTCCCCATTCCAGCTTCAATAGTGAATAGAGAATGGGTGATTTTGTGAGGAGAATGCAGAAAGCAGCCTAATGCAGTCAATGAAATTTAATTAGCCAGCTCATACCACATCGCGATGCCAGCTCATTTGCTATGCATGCCCAGTGTAATCTTTTAAGACATGGTTTTTATGCCAAGTAATCAAATCATTAGCACTCATTACAAGCTGCTTAATTAATAAATCATTTCACGTCCCCTCCCGTACAAAACCCCATTTATCCTCGGTCCTTTCGCTTTTCTTGCTCTGTTTGGATTTCTTTTTCTAGCCGCCCAAAGGGAAAACGGCTAATGATGCATAAAAACTAAGCGATTCGACGTCAGCACTTTTTAACGGGTTTTCACTGCGGTTTTTAAATGGAAAACGGTAAGATTTTATTTGTGATTTAGTTCAAGGGTTTAAAGTACTAGTTAATTCTGAATTTAAAGGATATTTTCTAGTATTTTGTTAATTAATGGGTAGCTGTTAAGAGGGTAGCTGTTAAGGGGGTACCCACACTTTTTTGATTAAAAATCACTTTTTATAATCTGATTTTAACCTTTGATTAAAGTTATAATAAATTAGGGTTTCTCCTACATTTTCTTAGTTTAAGTTTAAGCTTATAAATATTTAAAAATAATTTTAAAAGAATTTTTTACTTTTTCTCACCTTATATGATCCCAGATTCTTAACAGAGCAGCCGAGTTTAACATTACGTCCAGCAGGTACAGTTACATTTTCGATGTATTCAGTAAATTCGGGTTCTTCGACGACAACTGTCAGAGGATTAAAAATGAGTCAGTTAAACATTAATTTATTTTCATTAAGTGCATAAAATATTTATACAATTTTATTCCTATTTGACTTAGTTCTATGTCAATATGCCGCCCGTGAATTTGCATAATCAAATAAACCATAAAAATCAATTATGCGCGAAAAATTAATTGTAAAAATGTTTTCTGAATGCGTGCGGGAGGATGAGCCAGAAGTTTTGGTACGAAAAATGGCTTTCGGGGGTGCAAAATAATTATTTCATTGATTTTTGCGTTGACTCATTATTCCAGCTGCTGCTGTATATATGGGAATTTGCTGGCGGGCAAGCTGGCCCGACAACGAATGTATGTACAAATATAATTAAACACATGTTCGTACACAGACAAACACCCCTATAGTGAATTTCACTTAAATATTTGCTTCAAACATCAACAAGTTAAACTCTTTTTTTGTCGCTGTCGCTGTCGCTGCAGCAGCTGCCGCTGCATTCATTAAACTTTTAATGACCATAAAATTTTGTGTGGAAATGCATTTAAATTGTGCCATGAAAGCAACTGTGAAAATTCCTAACAGCATTTCCTTTATTATTCAGACAAATATTGATACTCCACAGGCGACATTAGGGTGGGGGGATGAATGCGTTGGAGACTTGGCTTTATTCATTTAGCTGCTAATTTAGTTGAGCTAAGCAAATATTTAATATAGAAATTCAATTTTTGTTTGCTTTGAGCTTGATAGCCTAACGAAATAGCTTTGGCAATTCAATTAAACTGTTTGAGTTGCAATTATTTAATCGCATTCCTGAAAAGGCAACAATTATGCATAACAAATCACGCAGTTTTAATGAAGCCCAAAATGCAGCTTAGATGGATGGTCAAAGAGTTTTCACTAGGCAGGGAGGCTAAGTGAATTCTGTATGTTCTTCGCTTATAATTTCAAAACAGATTTGCTCTTCTTTCTTTCAAAACTTAAAGGTGTTGATTGCAGGCGAAAATATATGGAAATTAATGTATACTTTTTGATATAATCAAAGGGAATTAAGCCTTTTGACTTTATGCCTGATTTATTAGAATTTTTCTACCTCTATATCGTTTGATCTCTCTGAATCAAAGTAACATTGCAAAAGTCCAAATTTTAATTAGAATTTAGGATTTTGCAATTTATATTTGAACCTAGAAATGGTTTTCAACTATTGCTTTAGCTTAATTAGCTATTTATGAGGGTCGGTGTGCCTGCCAGTCATACAGTATATACATTTTAAACTGAAACTCAAATAGCAGCAGACGCACACATATAGAGTTACACATTTGCCGAGCTGAAATGTGCACAAGTCAATAGAAATTTGTTGACTCCACGAGGCCATGGGCGATGGAAACAATATGCCAACCACTCTGCCTTTTCGACCACGCCCTGCCCTGTCAATCCCATTATGAAACAATAACACAGGAGTTGCATAAATTGGCCAAAGTTGATATCTGTTTTTTATGTTGCAGAGAAAATGTTATTGAATAGTTTTGATGGGAAGAACTCGAAATGAGGTTTAGTGAAACAAATATTTGTAAAAACCTAGAATAATATTTAACTTAAGTCAGTTCAAATAATAAATATCCGCAAAAGCATCCTATAAACTAATCAAGCATAAGTAAGATAGTTAATGTGAAAGAAAAAATCTTTCAGCACTCTTCCATTAAATTTGTTTAATAAATTAACATTAAAAGTTAATATCAAGATATATTGATCTCCTGACTCACTAAGATTGACAAAAAACTAAGAGCAAAGGGCAAAAACTATGACCCCTTGTTGCAAGTCTAGCGTGCAACGTTTACGCAATGGCATTGGCAACGGGCGAAAATGGTCTGCATAATCATGGGATTTCATCCAGCTGCAATTTTCGCGCCAGAGCGCGTGTCTGCATATAAATTTTGTTGAGGTCTCAGCCGTCCGCCAACGCCCACACGACCACGCCCTTTAAACAGAAACAACAAACAATCAAATGAAAAGTCTGATAGAGATAACAGGTTTTCAGGAGAAGTTATAAACTTGACTTATCAAGAGGAAGGAATTTTCCTTCTAAAGTACTAACTAAAGACCTAAGTCTAACTTATGTTTTCTAAACCTATTTACCATATTTCTCAATGCTTTTATACCTTATAAGGTATATATAAGCATTGCAGCATTTAAGTTTAGATCTCATAAACAGAACCAAGGAAGATGCTACTTTAAGTTCTTTTGTTCTATGGCAAGAAACTATCACATTTACCAGAACTAATAGTGCATAAGAAATCAGAATTATCTGCACAGAAAAGCTCAAAATTATATTCATAAATAACTTTTCATTTTCTTTTTGCAACAATGCAGCCATGCATATATCGACGTTGATGTCATGAATGCCTTCGACTTAATATTCAACACTTAATTGAAGTTGATATTGCATTTTTGCCAGCATAGTTAAGGTGCTCGACTCATGAATAAATTCGCAGCTCGCAATGCATAAACACGATGGCTATGATATTGGCCATCGGCAGTTGAGACGGTGACGGTGAAGGATGGTGAATCAGTGGAATGATGATGATGTCGCCATGGATGGGTTTAAGGATGCGAATGGGGATGATGCGGTGGATGTCGCCTGTTGCGACATAAATTGCGCTGCCTGAATGAATTTTGCGCGCAGTTAAACGGCATTATTGCTGTTGTTGGCCCGCTGTTTCCCCTCCTGTTTTTGTTGCCGCTGCCACTGCTGCACCTGAGAACAATGACAGCCGGCATTCACTGGAGTTGAGTGGCAAATCGGTGTTGGGTTGGAGGCGTGTTAACCCCGCGGCTCTGTCACCATCCCGGATTTATTTTTTCACGTCACGTGGCTCACAACAGCACACTCGAAACTATTTCCTATTATATGAAATCGCTCTTGAAGCGGATGACATTGTAGAATTTGTGGTGAAGTTTTGCTTTTATGCTATGGGAAAAATAGAATTCTGCACTTGGGAAAATTCTTAAAAGTTGGTGTTTTAGGACCACATTTCTGTTTAAAACTAAAAGTCGGACTATTATTAGTATTTTAGTTGTTTTTTGGGAAAGAAAATTAGTTTCGATTTTAAAAATAAAATACATGCTAACCGTGTATTAGTGATATCTTCTTTTTGTGCACGAAGTGGATATCTATGAAGTGCTACCCATGGCGGCTCTTCTGCCCTGATGGCTTTCCATTTTGGCATAAAGCCCTGTATCACCTTTGCCCTTGGGCACCCTATCCCTTCAATCCGTGGGTATTTGTCCCCTTTTCCCCTTATTTGTTTGTGCAAATATGATTGGCTGCGGGGGCGAGTGGCTGCCTACGTGGTATCAGAGTGTTATTGATGGCATCAGGCAGCGGGAGTCGGAGAGCAGCCAAAAGGCAATCGCGGATAAAGATAAAGTGCGATTGCAGTGTTTACACTGCCCTACAAAATTGCCAGCCAAGGGATATTTGCATGGTGTTTGTGGGGGGAATGTTGGTAAGCAGCAGGAGTTCTATGGTTATTGGCCAATAAAAGTAAGTAATTTATTGTTTAAAGTTACTTCTTTGATATATTTAAGTTAAATTCAGTGAATAAAAATACTTATTATGGGAAATCAGTTAACTATTTTTACATCCCTGGTTTCACAGTGTATTATTACTTAAGTTTAATATTCATTTAGATATGTCATGCCAGATACTCACTGTTTAAATTCGAGGTCGGCACATTGGCCCCACCTCCGGCCACAATCACGCCATTGCTCCCGACCACCGTGCTTCCGGTTCCGCTGCCAGCCACGGGTCCTCCTCCTACTCCCGCTCCTCCTGTTCCTGGTCCACCAAAGTTTGGAACCACTCCAACCGTCACTGTCTTGGTGCCGGACGGATGTTTGCCCTGGGCAATACCGACGCTCCCCCCGACGCCACCGTTTAGAATCTGCGGCAAGATGATCTTGTTGGTGGAGTCCCCCGCTGTTGCCGCGAGCACTAGGAGGGCCCCAATTAGATGCCAGGACGGGGGCAACATCAACTTGCCGTTGCGGTCGACTCAGCCACAGCCAGGAGCCCCAATGATGGCCTCGTCTCCTGGCCAAAGTGCATCCTCTCGGATCTACTGGCTCAGTTTTTTACCACCTCGCTGATGCTCTCGATTTTGTTTTTTGAACGCCACGGGGCTTGTTTGTGTTTTTGCTTTTGTTCTCAGTTTTTCACACGGTTTTGTTTTCGCAGTTTTTGGCTCGTGGCAATTACCAAATTTTAGTTCTTTTTTGTCGGATTATTCTCCTTAGGCATTTTGTTAATATGTACTGTATTTAAGAGAAGCCAATCTTGTAAAATCAGTTTATCAAAGTCTAGTGAAATTGCAGAGGTTTGAAAATGATCCACAAGACCTATAATATTATTTATATTGCAAATCCAAATATTATAAGAAAAAATCTTCTTCTTAGCTTAATATAATTTTTTACCGAAATTATAAAGTAAAGTATAAAGAATGATGACAGACAATAGGAAATAGTAAATAAAATAGCAATTCTAAAGGTCTGTTGATGTAGAAACTTACTTTGTCAGAAAACTATCAATACAAATCCTTTAAAATCTTAAGGTTTTTGATTAGCTCTCTTTAATTTTAAATCTAAATCTTTTCCAGTGATACATTTTTCCATTTTCCAAAACCAAAACGAATGCAAAAAAAAAGAAACTGCCTAAATTCTCGAGTTTTCCATTTGACTTTAGCACCCATAAATTTGCTTTCAATGCACTGGATTCCCACTTTCCCGTTCCCTTTCCCGTTCCGGTTCCCGTTCCTGTTCCCTGCCCAATTGTTTGCTGTCTAGTAACTTTCAACGCATGCACACAGATGCCATGCAGATTTGCTTGGGAATTCAATAAAGTTTGGCAAAATATTATGCCATAGAGCCGCATGCTAGCTGCCACGCCTCCATGCTCTACCTCCTTGCGTAGGCGTTTCGCACGTGTTGCAGCAAAGTTTAAGCCACCAAAAAAAAGAAGGGGAAAAGGGACAAACCAAAAAGTCATAAAGATTTGCCTCAGTAGCAGCAACTTGAGCGCCCTCTGGCGGCCAGTTGATATACATTCCAATTTTCCAAGGTTTATCTGTGAAGCAAAAATTAAAAGTCCGGCCAGGCCTAAGCGGAATTCATAAGGCAAAACATTTTTTATCTTATGAAAGTAAAGGCACCGCAGTCTGAGAACTTTTTGGAGATGTCGGAAATAAAAAGTTTTCTTACCACATGTGCAGACAGTCTAGTTTATGCCAATTAATTTAAATGCTCTTTTCATTTGTTGTTTATCTTAAGTTTGGCTTTCTTGCCATGCTTACTCTCTTTTTGCTGAGTTTATTTTATACTTTTGCAACTTGATTTTTGTCAGTTCTTGTTATATTTTAAGTTTTTCCAACAGAAATTTGTTTGGTAAACTGGGATAGGCATACAGTGCCTGTCGTTTTTAACTACTTAAAGTTACTTCATATATTAAATGGCTTATGATTTTCATTTTGCTTCTTCCTTTTGGAAAACTAATATCTATCATTCTGATAAAAAAATATAAAATATTATTATTTTTGTAATAAAAGTCGAAAGATGATTTTATCTTTATTTTACATAAGATAGTAAGTATTTATTAATATAACTTCTAACTAAGCGAAACTCAAGTTTTCATTTAAACCCATAAATATTTATCTTTATAGTTATGTCACGCACATTCCCATACCCTGTTTCGTTGCTATTTCTTGGCCATCAAAACTTTCTCTTGAAAAATTTGTATTTTTTATGGCTTTTAAGCGTGTCGCCTTCAGCTTTTTGTGGGTTCCACACGCAGCTTGGCAAACACTTGCACAGACACACAGAGAGAGAGACAAAACTTTTTCCCTTATGACTCGCTTATGAAATTAAGCAATTTTTGCCGCCCTGCCTCCTCTCCCCATGCCACCATACCCCACTCACACATGATGAAGCTTTTTTGGTATGGACCAAAACAGATTTGCCATCAAACAACAAGAACAAGAAGTCCAACAAATTTTATGCACTTTTTTATGAGTTTCCCAAAGTGTTTGTAATTAAATTAATAAATTGTTTGGGGTAGGAACTTGTTCCGTATGTGTTTTCTCTTTTTTTTCCTTTCTTTTTATGCTGGCAAATTAAATTTTAATGAGGCTATTTAGTGTTTTGTTTGGCTTTGGCTTGTTCTGTTTTTCAATGATAACTTTTGCCAAAACAAATTGGTTTATAATGGTTCTAAGCTTTTAAAGGCTTAATTGAATGTCATGTTGTTTATGCAGTGTTTAGATGCTAGCTAATTAATTTACAATCAGTATTTGTTTTTAGTTTCTAGTAAGGCTGGTCATCGTACAGAAGAGATCTTAACCATTATAGGGAATTCCTTTGTAGCAACTGCTAAAATTATTTAAAAGGTATTGTGTAAACAATAATAAGCCTTGACAGGTGTGGTGTCCTCTGAGCAAATCATCAACCATAGGAAAATGGTCCTTGCCCTCAGGCGATTTTTCCTAAGCTGCACTTAATGCTTGACAGCTTTTAGCTTCCGCATCTCCATAGTAATTGAGGGGGGAAAAGTGTGTAGGAAAAGGTAACCGGGAAAGGGAAGTTAAGTATACCTGTGGCGGCCAAACGTGTACATTAAAAATTCCTCCAAATAAGAAACTTAGTTATGGTAACTTTCTGTCTTGTATTTTTGTTTAAAAATGTTTAAAAATCTTAGATTTTTAATCAATCCCTAATGAAAAACATAATAAATATGAGGAAATCTCTAATAGAAGTTATTATTTAAATATAAATATTAATATTAAAATAAATTCTTTAAACATTATTGTAGAACAGCTATGAATATTAACTAAAGTTAAACTACGCTCAATCGTCCTTGTAAAGAAATATTTTTCGTCTAATTTATTATTAAGTTTTATTTACTGAGCTACATTTATATTTAGTTTAGTTAGTTTTTCCCTCTAAAGTTACTCCCTTAAATCTGCACAAAAAGTCCCTTTCAACTTGGCAATATATGAATAAACGCATCAATAAATTTTCACTTTTGATCAAAGCTCTGTCACACATAATATCCATATTTTCGTCATCATCATCATCGACAGCATCATAGTTTTGCCATTTTGTTTGCCATCCTCTGAACAAATTGTAAAGTTGCAGGAGCAAACGACAAACCAAATTCAAGCAAACAAAACGAAAACAAAGCTGAAAACTCGAAAAAGAATTTAAAAAGAGTTGGAAATAAATAAAGAGGCATAAGCCTTCCCACTGCTGACAAAAAGTTCTCAAACAGCTGACATCCATGGGTTTCCCATCATTTTCCTGCTCTCTCTCTCTGTGTTTACGTGTCTTACTCGCACTGCATCTGCTCCATATTGCCATTGATCTGCAATGATGCTTGAATGCAAAACAACTCGTTCTACAGTGGGACTAAGTGCAGTTAAATACGCACTAGATACTGATTATAGTTTATCATAAGATCTTGAAGATCTTTATGATGAAAATACTAGTAGACTTTTCTTTTCTGTGTGTACAAAATTATAAAAATTGAGCTGCTTATTTAGTATTATAGTCTTCAGAACGCATTATTAAGTAACAATTAAAAAAGATTCATTAAATTCGTATATTTTTAAAAATTTCTCATCTCTTTTCTGATAAAAATTCTCAACACAAAAGTAGCAATATAGTTTAAAAATCTTCACTATTTGGTTTTAAAAATATAGAAAACAAAATGGTTATTTGACTCTAAGGTTGAAATTTTCTTCTTTATATAAATATAATCCTATTTTAAAGAAACACAACCTTCAGTATCCAGCTTAACACTAGCTTCACTGTAGCCTCACGCGTCAACTATCTCTATCTCCTACCCCATTACGTATGCAAGTTCCCAGCAGCTGGCAGACGGGTCCTGGCCCTTTTCCCCAACATACCCTGATTCGCCCTGGCTGCAGTGGGTTAATGTATTTTTAAGCTAAATTCTTTGTTTATATTTGTCTTGCTGTTTTCGGTTGTGTTTGTGTGTCGTGCGTTGCGTTCCGTTGCGTTGCGTTGGCTTGCGTTACGTTGCAGTGGCAACGCTAACAACAACAGCAACTGCCTGTCCCTTATCAATCGCTACAAAATTCCCCTTCAACTACTCTTTTTTTTGTTGCCATCTGTCCCAAAGTGAACTCCAGTGGATTCATTTATTCGCTTATAAGTTTGTTTGGGAATTTTTCAGAGATTCAACCAGAGTGGCGTTGTGTTTGCCGGTTTTGCCGGTTTTGGGATTTCCAGGACTTGAAGGGCCCTGGAGTTAGTCTCTCGCTGTTTGTTTACTTTTTGCTGGCATGAAATGTGCATTAGCAGAGTTAACTGTTAATTGTTTACCCATTTCGAGTGCCTGACAAGTGACATGTGAGTGTGTGGTCTGAATCGTAGCTGTGGTTAACTTTAAAATGCTTTTCACTTATTTCAGTGTCTGCTTGAATAACTGATACTAAGATAATGCGTAGAACTTAATCGATTTTTCGGTGAATAGGGAATTGAGAGTAAAGCTATTTTAGTTTTGTGATGATCACGGAAAATACTGTAATATATTTCTAAATTCAGTTTCTTTAACTTTCATTTGGGTTTAAGCCAACTTAAGTAACCAGTATAGTATGGTGTCTTTATTGTATACTTGTAGTTATTTCGGTTCTTAACTTCCGATCAAGCCGTCTACGTTTTTTAGAATGCTCTTCTTTTTTTTCGTTTTCGCATTCCAGGGATGGAAGATGCTCTCGATACTTTTACAAACCAGGGATAGCACACATAATACATAACCAGGGCTACACAAATAACATAATATAAATAACTTAAAACTACGTTGGCCATGTTTATACTAAGAGTAGTTGCTTAGTTCTTATTACCACACCAGGAACGTACTGTATTTAAAAAGTGATCTGCTGTTTTAATTTTGAATCGACGCTATTACCTACCTATATTCAATTTGCAACTCATGCCAGGTGAAATTCCTATTTTAAAATTACTAATAAATAACGTACGATATCTTTGTTCTCGCAACCTATACTTTCGGTTTATAGTTTCTCGTTATTTAATGTAGATCTGTTTGTTATTTTAATAAATCAACCCCAAACTTCATAATTTGTTATTTGTTCTAAACAAATATTTACTTAAAAATACGAAAGAAGTGTAAAGATTTCTTATTTTGTGAATCATTAAACTCTAAAACTCTTACAATACAATTACAATTTTACAAGAAAGACAACCGCGCAGTTTGTGCCATCTTTCACCACAGCAAAATCAAAAAACACGATCACATAAAGTCAGTTGCTTGCTCATTATTTCATCGATCACATGACACTTCAGTACGACTTTCCCTTTAGCCGAGGGATCATTCACTCACGTTTTCAGAGTTACTGGTAATAAAACGCGTCCGCTTCGTGCAGAATCCGTAGCGAAACTGATTTGCCGACGACACTTAATGCTCGCACAGAGCCGGGCTCTGGCTTTTTCCCACCAACACCAACAGCAATAGCAACAACCACAACAACAAGAAAAGAAAATCCAACGAATGAAAAGCGCTGTTACGTATACGCGGAGTTGGACGAGTGATAACAGGCCAGGACGAACCGACGGAAACGACAGGGCGAGAGCCGAAAAGGAGCTTCGGTTTAAGCCAACCAAAGGACGCAGGATGCTGTCCATTGGTAGTTGTTGCTGGTTTCTGGTCGCTGCTGGCTGATGGCAATGCCCGGTATCCTTGTTGTGTTCGTGGGGCTTGTAGTTTTGCGTGCAACCGCAACCGCAACCACAACAACAGACCGCAAAACACGCGACAAAAATGTTAACAGAGTTGCCGCCTCCCAACCATCATACCATGCCCCCAAAATGTACGCCGCACAATGTTCGAGTTGCAAGCCAATTTCGCTGTCGAACCATTTGGCTCGCTGGCTGCCCGGCTTGAACCCTTTTAATAATAATAATCGAATTAAGCCAAAATGAAAACAAAATCAAAACACATGGAGTTCCCTATCCCGCAACACATGGAGTTGTTTGGTTTGTTGGCTGAACATTGCTATTTCGAGGCAGTGCTTTTAATTAGACAAGTTAATTAAATTTATTTGCATTTTATTCGAAGTCCTTGTGTGTATTTTTGGATGAAAAAGTGCAATTAATTTGAGATATTCAATTTGCAAGCTTTGCTTATTCGATTTCCGCTGACGCAGCTTCATCTAATTGAGGGTGATAATTGCGTTTTATGGCTGACTAAGTTACCAAAGCTGGCCAATCAATAGAAAGTTTATTGAGATTGCTTTAGTAAGATTGCTTATGTGGAAGTAATATTTAAGATACTTTAAAGAATATGGCTAGACTCGAATGATGATGCTTATTTAATCTACCTAAAGATTAAAACTTTATCTTGATAACTTTTTTTTCAAAATAAAACGCGAAAGCTTTTGGCTGTAAACTTACATTGAAGTCTTGCGAGTATTTCACTTTAAAATCAAATAAGAAAATTCCTTTACTACGTTAAACTTATATGTTATGATATGAAATATTTGAGATCTTCTAGGTAAAAATCTTTAAAAATAACACTGCTCAGCATGAAATTCCTAACATGTTTTCCATGTTGGGTAATGAAAACGCAAAAGGCAGTCAAAGCATCCAGAGAAGTATGCTAGAATGAGAGTGATAAATTCTCCCTGTTGACCATACTGAACCAGCTTAATGAACTCTTTCAAATCACAGGCATCGCTCAATGCCAAAAACATTAAAACTGACAAGGCTAGACGGCAGACAAGATGACTGCCCTCTGACCCCCGCTCTGGGACACACCCAAGGAAAAACGTGCACCGTCGCTTGGCAAGTTCATTGTGAGGGCCTCGGTGAGGGGTAGGGGACTGTTCTCCAGCGGCACTGAGTGGGCGTGGCCGACTGTTGCGCCAGCATGTGACCAGGATCAGGAAGAGAGGCGATGGAAAGGGGTGGGAGGGAATGGAGGAGGCGGAAAGGCCACAAAGGTCGTTGCAACACATTCGCTTCGTTGGGTCAAAAGTCAAGCGATGGACGGGGGATCCCCTTGGATGCCAGCCATTACAACACTTTGTTGGCTGCTTTGTAAAGTTTTTCTCACCATGGAAAAACTTTTTTTTTTCCTCATACCCCCCGAAGTCTTTTTGTATTTTTCACGCCTTGTCCGAAAGTTTTCTGTTTTTTTCCCTTACTTGTTTTGCTATTTTTTTCCGCTGCTGCTGCCTTAACAATGAAATTTTTGACTGCTGATTGTTTGCTGTTCAATGTTATTCTTCCAGTTCAATGCGAGTTAAAGTAGACAGAGCTCTACAAAATACAAAAAAAAAAAAAAAAAAACAAAATAAGGAAGAAACCCGGAAAATGTTGGACCTTCTCCTATGGTACTTGGCCAAATTGAAAATGGAAAGTTTCGTTCTTGTTTTCCTGTATAGATATATTCACAATTCCTTTTGCAGTTTGTCTGCGACTTTGGTTAAGTATGCCTTGCAGACTAGTCTCTGTGCTAAGGAGTGTCCAAATGAGGTAAAATAGTTTGGCTAGTATACGCCAGGAAAGTTTTCCCTCAGACCTGTCTCTGGAGATTTATACTTGGGATATTCAAGTTTGCGAAAGAAACAAATACATGGGAAAAGAATCGGGTGGAGTAATAAAACAAGATTTAAGATCAGAATCGAAAGTTTAATGGGCGGAGATTTGTAGTCTCTTTTATATGTTACGAAGAAAATGAAAAACAAAAAACGTAATAACATCACGTATTGCGGGGGTTGAACAAACCGCAGGCTGACGTCGCATTTCCATTTTTCCACAGTCAAGGCGAAAATGGTAGGGAATCAAAACTGACTCCCCCGTAAGCATGCATTCATTTTTCCAGCAATTTTCACACCCAAGCTGGCATGCACTTTGCTGGAAACCATCTCCTCCCCGTTTCTCCCCTTCACGATGCACCCCACTCCCCTCGTTTTATCTGACAGCTGCACTTACGCAATGTTACGCATAAGTGCCCTTTAGCACCTAGCAAGTAGAACATTTTTTTATTTCACTTCTTCTGGCAGTCGATGAGGGCTTATTATACGGAAAAACATTTGTGTTTTCCCCTCACTTAAAATAGGGCATTATAATGCTTAAAGATGTGCTGCGTCTTGTGGGAAATTTCAATATTCATGAAGTTAATAGCTACATGACTTTATAATAGAAAATAAAAGCTATTAAGGGAAGGGTATGTCGTATTTTAAGTTGGTCTCTCTTAGATATTCTTATGACTTAATGAACTGGGGTAACATCTTACATAAGTCATATGAAAATCTAAAAAGCTGAAACAGAAGAATTTTAGGTGATAGGAACATACTGCAAAGGAGATTTCAGCCAATAATTCAGCCAATTTTTCCAAAAGAAAGGACATAAATTTTCCTCAGTCATTCTAACCAAATAAAAATGATCTTTTCTATAGCCTGTCACTATGTACTTTCCTTCCCTTAAAATCTGTCTGCACTTTATTAGCAATCATGACTAAGCGCGACTGTTGAAACTTTTTTCGCACTGACAAATTGACTTGCCACACGGCCTAAAAGCGAGCTGCCACGTTGTGGCGGCTAATAACTCAATAAAGGAAGTCATGGCCTAAACCATCCGCCGCCGACGCTCCACCTTCTGCGGATTTCCTTTGTGCCAAGGCAAGTTTAAGCCGATTTCCGCTTGTTTGTCACACAATTACAATTTGTCAGTTGGGCTTAGGTCGTCGGGATTGCCTTTGTCCTTGTTCGCCTGATTGGCTGGAAAAGGTATGTATTTCAGGGCCTAATTAGGGATAATCGCGGCGGATAAAAACGTAAACAAGATGAAGAGTGAGAAATATTTTAAAGAATTTAGAGTTTTGCATAACTTAAGAAGCTAAAGGATGGAAGTTATTGGCTTTAATTTTCCCTTCTTTAATACCAAATTAGTCACCTCCGAAGGATATTTTTGAAATATAAAAAATGATTTTGTTAAAATTTCAAAAGAACTCTTATTACAGCCAGCATTGCAAAGTCGGTTGTAGGACATCGATAACCAGTACAAATTGCCTTTATATGGCTAGGCGGTAACGCCTACAGGCCTAATGACCGCACGTAGAACATCTTGTCCTGCGGTCACCATAAATAACACAAAAGCGCATTTGTCATACGACCTCGCTCCACCTCGAATCCCGTTCCCGTTCCCGATCCCTGATTTCCGATTCTCACTTCACTCCCTTCCTGCCAGGCATTCACCTTTTGGCAAACTGCAGTCCTTGGCCTTTGTCCTGGACGTGTTGGGCTGTAAATCAGCTCATTAGTTAGTTGGCAGCACCTCGAGCTTGGCTAAGACCAGTCTATGAGTAACACGTAGTTGGTGGTGCAGTGAGAGCAAAAGATTTTAGAAAAATATTTTTCATATTTTTAAAGTGTTTTAAATGACTTAGATAAATATTGTTTTAAGAGGAGACTCATATTAAATAAATTTGAACTTCTGGGACTAACAAACCTTGCTAATTTTCGTAACTACATTTTTCTCTCCAATTAAGAAATGGTTGTAATTTCCCTATAACATAACATTCTTTCTTACAGTGTACTTATTTTGGCTTGTGCGGTCTCTCGTTAAGCTTCATTTAATCAAAACAAAAGTTGGTCTGGTGAAAAATTACCCCCTCACAGAAGAGGTAAGCGGCAGGCTAAAATGCCTCTTTGAATGCTAATAAATCTCGTTCGGTGCGTGGCTGGGATGCCTATCAACGCTTAAACCCGACCTTTGGCAGTCGAATATAATAATTTAAGTAGCCAAATATCTGCGAAAGTTGTTGGCCGAAAGTTTTGGCCAGCAACGGACCAAAGAATCAGAATCGAAAGGGATTTTCTTTTTAGTTGATGATAGCCAGGAGTTAAGCCAATGAAGGATTGGCTTGATATGGTGGGAGGGATGGGAAATGTGTGGGAGTTAATGAAGCACGGCGATTGTGGAGGGTTCAAGGGTCAAGAGAAGGAGAAAGAGAGAAATATGGCAAGTCAGCTGTCGATTAAGTTTAGTGCCTGATGATGATTGTTCCTGGGGGGTCGTGACCCCTTGTTGATTGCCCTCGTCCAGTTTCAAGTGAGTGTGCTGTATGCTGTTATTGTTTGAAACTAATCTTTAAAGATCATTAGCTTTGTTCGCCCAAACTTTTCATAACAATAATAATTTGCCAAATACCCCTGGAGATGAGTCCTTGGCAGCTACGCCATAAGGGGTCCAAAAGGGTAAGGAGTCCCCACATAAAAATATATGGATAGAGCCCTTGAGAGATGGCCAGCTATAATGACGTCAAAGTTGTCAGGGAGTTTTTCATATTGTTGCCTTTAACATTAACCTTACCTTTTTGTGCCTCTTGTGCCCCTGCTCACTATGATAATGATAATGAGCATAATGGCGGCGGGTCGAGAGGTGAGAGAAGATGGCTGATGACTCGGAGCTACTCCAAGTCCGCTAATCTTAATTACTTTTGTTTAATTACTTTGACGTCCTGCCCGCGACCATGACAAGCCAACTTCCACCGTTCCGGCATTGTTTCCACTTTGAAACGCCCGGGGATATGCAACGGCTTTGGCTGCTTCCTTTAAAATAAATAATGTTTACTTATTATTTTTACCCTGAAAAAAGAATGAAGGTAAAACAAAACCAAAAGGCAACAAGAAGAGAAAATATTAACAAGTAAAAACTTTACGCAGTTAACAAAAGAACCCACAATATACCTTTCGCGTTTCACGCTATAAGACAAATAAAGGCCACATGCTTTTAGGCATTTTTGCATCCTGATTGTTCGTACCTGACCTAAGGCACTCGGTTACAAAATTCCTGGAAAAATACTTACGTATTTTGTAAACTAATTTAGAGATTAAAATCTTGACCCAACCAACGGGGAATCGCCAAAGGGCATGACCTCCTTCTTTCGCTCCGCCAAAAAACCAAGCCAATTAACATAATAATGTTGATTTTTATTGCAGCATGGAAAAGTTTTGTCATTGACTTTGGTCAATGTTTGTTCAGAGGCTCCGCCCTCTCTGGTTGGTAGGCCTGAGGTTATGATATTTTAAAGTGTTCAAGTTTTCCACAAATTTGTCACGCTTAAATGTCAAAGCCTTATAACGCCCATGAAATGGTTTGATGGCACATTAAGTGTCTGTTTGTTTGTGGGCTTGCCACAAAGTGTGCACTAAAACTTGTTTTTTTCCTCTCTCTCTTTCGGCTACAAATAATTTATGAGGCCAGTCAAAATCACACAAACTGAAACCAGAAAGACGTCAGAAAATGGCCCAATATAAATTCCAAAGAGGCAACTCTGCAGGTAGAAGCAGGAGAAAAATGTTACTATTTCAGATATAAACTAACTTCTTGTTGGATACTCTTTTTATTTTAAAAATAGTTTAGAGTGGGCCTGGCAGGACACTGGAACAAACTTGCACTGCATAGGGATCTTTAGAGTCTGCATTACTGATTTCCTGATATTTCTGCTTTCATATGGATAAAAGGACATCATTTAATCGACTCTATCTATTAAGATTAATAAAATATATATACACTTTATAGGGTCAAAAACGCTTCCTTCTACCTGTTATCTACCCTTTTGCTTTATGAGTGCGTGTGAAAATAAGAAAAATGCAAAGAAAACTTAAAAACATATTCAAAAACAAAGGTTTTCAGTATAAATAGCCTTACTTAACATATATAATATTGAATAAATATATTTTAAGTTTTTCAATGACCATCCACAAAGTGGTTCTCGCTCAGAAGTTACCCAAACTTCGGTAGAGCATCATTTCACCTACGCCACTTCAGAATGTGTTTTATAAGCCATGACCCTCAAAAGTATGCAATAAATGTTAAGGCCAAGCTGAGCCAGGATGGCAGCCCCAAAAGCTTATGACGTGTTTAAAAGCCAAGAGATGCCGACAACTGTAAAAAGTCCAGAAAAGCATAAGGAGCAGGAAAAGCCATCAGGTGGATCCAGTTTGCCTAGAACCAGCTATCATTTGGCTTATCAGTTCGGCAGACCGACACTCAACTGATGCGTTTATCAGTTGGTGGGAAAGTCAAAGTAAGCAGTTCAATAGATTTCGAGGTCGATAAGCAGTAACGGAATTTTCCAAGCAACTAAATAAATTTTATTTTTTTTCTTAGCAGAAAGTTTTCAAGATGGTGAGCCTGAACACGATTGCGGTGGCTGCGGTGCTTCAACTTCTGGGCATATCCTTTTTCGTGCCCCAGCCGAAGGATCAGTGCTCGCCAGCTCCAGCCGTTGGAAGCTACCTCTTTCTGGTGGCCACTCTTGTGCTTTTCTGGGACTCTGACATGATACCCAAGAAGTTGCATATATATTCACCATGGATTTTGGCTGGAGGTGATCTTTTCTTCACCATCTTATTCACTGAACTTTTTGTACTTCTTGGCTGGTGCGGATTCGAAAGGATAACTTATGTTACTGTGCAGATTGTTTGTAAAGGAAATATGTGGTGCGAGTACGGATTGATGACATTCTGCACCATTTTAGGAGCCTTTGCATCACTAACTCTTGTGGTTGGAATGGTTTGCCAATCCCAGATGAAGGATTCGGTGGCTGAGATCATAGCTGGCCTGCCCGTTCCCAAGGGCTGTGGACCAGTTTACGATTTCTTTCTGGATATGCACACCTATGTGATTGGATGCCTTTACTTTTGCCAACTGAGTCGGAAGGACCGTTTACTATCGATTCGTGCCTTTGAGATGCAAGTGCTGCGCAGCAAAGTGCAGCAGAGGCAGCAAAGGAAGCAGGCGGGTGAACCTGCTGGCCAAGAGGATTCGGAAAAGTAGGCGGATGGGGAAAAAATGGACAACGAGATTCAGCCGCCAGAACCGGAGATCGTCCCGGAGTTGTCCCCGTGAATTGTTTATTATTTATACAAATTTATGCCAACAGCTGTTGCTATCGCCGGCCTTATTGTTGTCGTCCTTTCATTTTTCTTTTTTTGGGCGGGAGGGAAGTAGGTGATGTGCCTTTCATTTTTCGATTTTCTGGATTTCGGTTCTCCCATTGTTTGCTTTTCATTTTTTGCTCCAACTGTTTTCCTTGCGGTGGCCATTTTAATTTTCGCCTTCCTTTTTTTCCTTTACTTGCCGTCGTCGATGTTGCCATGTTAGCCGCAATTGATTTGCCGTAAATTGTATTTTTAATCTGTCCGACAAACGTTCGACATTCGATTTCGTTTGGCAATATGTTGAAAGCGATTCTGTTTGTGTTTCTTTCCGCACTACGGAATGGGGGAGGATTGGTTGCAGGAGAGCGGTGGCTGGGTGTTAATGAGTGTGTCAAGGGTGTTATTTATTCGTTAGGTAATTGACAGGGAGCTACAGGGCAGTTTGGAAAACGATTTCTCTTTGGGTTGGTTTGATAAGGCTTGATCAAGGCTTTCTTTAAGTCTCTTGAAATATCAAAGTTTATCCCTCCAAATTACTCAAATTAACAATTTTTAAAGGGAAAAACGTTTGTGTAAACTTTATAGTATATGCCTTTCCCAGAACACCTCCCAGCTAAAACAAATATTTACACCAATTTATTTGTAGATTTTTAGAGGCAGTCGATTAAATTGCAAATTCACATTGGCCCGCTCATCAAAGAGCTGGCGAATAAAAATAAAGTGCCAGAAAAACAACGAGTGGAACATTATTTTTGGCAATTGCTTTGGAAATACTAATATGATTGACAGTCCCTGGAATCGCATTAATGTCACTCACACACGCCAACCACCCCCTCCCCTGCCAAATGCTATTGCCCCAGTGTTGAGTAATTGAATTTGTTCTTGTGCTGATTCGATGTTGATGGGGTTTGGAAACGGAGAAGAGAACAAGGGGAAAGTATATTAAATATTTCACATCTTACATGTCTGGGGATCGGATCCGCAAGGAAGGAAGTCAGGTTTCGCTGGCTTGTGTGCTATTTGTCTCAGCAAATCAACTCCATTGTTTTTGTATTGTATTTGAGGAAAATGGATAAATTCCAGCATGGATGGCTTGACACCTTGGAGAAAGTAGTTTACAGTTTGTCTAAAGAACTTTAAAACTTGTTAAAGCTAACAATGTTACTTCCTGCTGATTGGAGTCCCTTAAAGGGATCTTCTTAATTAAGAATCTATCTGTATGACCACCCCTGACTCCTCTAATCTTACCACTAATTCCCTTCTCTAGACTTAAATCAGATTTGTATATAGCTTAGCAGATTATCATCACACACTCTGTGATAAGCTCAGCATGGACCCACAAAGACCACCCCCAAACCAGCTGGCATTATCCAAACTTAAATGCCAACTGTCGTTAGTTGCTCACTGCTCTAGGATATGGGCAAAAGGATAGAATGGGGATGGGGTTCTGTCAACACGGCGGATGGATAAGAAATATGTGAGCTTCTGGCGGGCAGCATACATATGTTAGCACATTTTTAAATGTATTTGTGTCAGGCTGAAGTCGTGACTGCAGTAAATTCCTGACTACCCAAAAATTCCCAAGAAAACGAAGAATGGCAAACTTGGAAGAAATGAGCATTTCAACATTTTCAACTTAAGAAGAGGACCAAAAAATACAAAAAAAAAAGAATGGAAAACGAAAACATGAGACAAGGCAACTGGCAATGCATGTCTGCAATTTTTTAAGCAAACATTTTATTTGCTCAAATGCTAGGAAAACAAAAAAAAAAATAACAAGATGGAGTGAGAATGGAACTTGAGACACACACACACACACACACACACACAACCCACATCAAAAGAGCAACTTCTGCATTTTTGCCCCTCAGTTCTTGTTGCTGCTGCTCCTGTTCCTTAGTTGTTGTTGTTGACTTGCGCTCCTGTTGACATTTTGATACAAATCTTCAATAAAATAAAAGCAGCTCAAGTGGCCATAGCGTAAACAACAAAGAAAGTAGACGGGGGTAAACTAAGGAAAACAAACTGGGTGAGGGGCGCAAGGGTTGCAGACATAAAATAACCCCAAGTACCTACTACCCAAAGATAGTGTAAGTGTAGTCTGAGTACAGGTTTCTTGATTGGCACAAGGATTTAAGGCAGTAAAAGTTTTAAAGTTATATGTCAGCTGCGATAGTTATGTATGATAAGGAAGATAGTTTGGTATTTTTATTAGGATTTTTGATCATAATTAGTCAAAAATATTTTGATATTGTTTACTTGTTAAAATCCTAATAAGCTATGCTAGCAACGTCTTCATATTGTAACTCCTCTAATTTACTAATCCATTTTCAAATAAAACCTTTCTCATCTTCTAGATATATCGAGTCCTCAACACCCATTTCCAGCTGTATGCGTAACAAATCTGAAATGGACCTGAAAACCGTAGGGATTAATTGGCCGCGACAAACCCTTTTGGCACCCCGAAATCCCACACCTCAATCCGTCCAGTCATCCTGTCTGAAAGTCCTTCGTGTCATCTGTCCCATGAAATCTTTTTTTCCTTCCTTTTTTTTCAGGACGGCTTGATGTTCCCCGTTTTCCCCCTTTTCGTCTGGTTTGGTTTTTGCTTGTGGTCAAGCATATGGCACACAACACAGAACAACATGGTGTTCCATTCGCACACAGATACACACTCACACACTTACACCGGGCAATCACGTAACAACAACAACAACAACAACAACAACAAGAACAACAAAAACAACAGCAACAGCGAAACCGAACAAAAAGTTGTTAGCCAATTTACTAAATGTCCAGTGTGTGTTGAATTGTTGAAGCTCGTTTGCCGCTTTGTGTACTTTTTCGTGTTTCGTATTGAATAACAAATTATTTGTGGCATATGTTTAGGGGCTCGGAAGGACCAAGAACAGGAGCTGAGTGGGCGTTAAACGACTTGTTAGCCAGTCAGTCATGGATAGTCCGATGGTCTGACAACTTGTTTGCCCGTTTCGTCCGATGCCCCGAGATGGACATAGTCATGGTAAAGAGTAAATAAGTTGAAAACTGGAATTAGTCCGTTTAGTTTAGTTTTATGTGTGTGTGTGTGTATGTGTGGCTGTCTATGTGGGATAGTTAAATGTTCTCCCCTGGACTTTTGGGCGTATCAAATGAAGTTAAAGATCAAAAGTAGTCGACTTTTCCGGCTCTTTGACTGAACTATCGTCCATGGCCCATAAACCTCTGTGTGAGTATTCCCCTCACAAAAACGTGAGTAATTTTCCAATGAATATGAAAAGCCACAAAACGAAAAACAGTCCTTGAGTGCTGGGCTACAAAAAATGGAAACTTGTAATACAATTTGTAGGCTCTGACTACAGCTCTGGCTGCTCTTCATTAGGATTTTTATTTCCTTTTTTTTTTTTTTTTGATATTTTATAGCTTGCCAAAAACCGAAGAATTTATTGCCGCAAGTTCAAAACGTTTCGATGCCTGGCATTTTTCTGAATCGACCTCGAAACGCTCGCTGCATTTTCAATTGCATTTCCAATAAATTGTTTCCAGCCTCGAGTAGTTCCGCTTCCTCCGCTTCGACTTCGCCAAATTGGCAAAAATAAGACAAAAAAAACGTATATAAGAAGAGCTGAGAAACCCGCGTAGCATTTAATTTACTCACGACTCTAGTGAACTGCACAAGAGAAATGCGTTTAAGGTTATGGGTGGGAGTTAGTTAGGGGCGGAGTGGGCGTGGCAGGATGTAATTAGGCGCTGTTAATTAGGTCGTAATTGGAGTTTTTGAGAAATTTAGGTTAGAAGCGGTCGAGAGTCATTCGAGGGTGACTTCCCCAAAGACATTACTTATGGGGAAATAAAAGGGGAAAATAAATGATGGCAGCCAGTCGTGTGGGATGCTACGAAAACTTAAGGCGTTTTAAGTTAATAGTTTTATAGTTATGACAAAAGTATTTTAAACTTTTTATTCCGTTTTTCAGGGATTTTTTTTGTCTATTTTTAGATGATGACTGGATGGTTGTGGAGCCAAATTCAGATTATAAGAATAGGCAATTCTTTTTATATATTTCTGTTCACATCAAAAACATTTAAACCATTTAAAGCCTTCATGCAATGTCTTTATCATCAGTAACTCGAACAGGCATTAAAGCTCATTTTAATCTGAGTTGAAAAATTTAACCAGTTAACTTAATAAAGAACACAAATTCAGGCTTATATTTATTTACATTTTTTTAATTTACAAAGAAGGGTTTTTTTTAAAATTAAGCAGTAAGTAAAAAACTGGACTCCAATTTAGGTCATTGGCTCTGATACAGCAACTATTAATAGCAACCGCTTTTCCGATCATAAAAATCCAGTACGTGATTTAAATGCCGGATTCATCGTTGTGACCCATCGTTACTTTTCCTCATGAAAGAATCGATAATTTCATTTTACATTTATATTTTTTTAAACTGAAAAAATCATTCAATATTTTAATCTAAATATAATTTATTATTAAGGAAACTGTGTACATCTTTTGGTTTCGTTTTGTAAATAGTAAGTGGTGGTATGTTTTGACATCCTAGTGTAGATAATCCGGTACTAACTTTGTAAGATACATTTAATGTAGACATTAAATAAATTCGTGTAAAATAAGTCACGTAGATAGAAACAGAAAATAGTAACTCATTTCGAGGCGCTCTAAAATTTAGTTTAATACAAGTTGAAAATATTTTCATAAGTTGGTACTTTTAAAATTATTCCATCGAAATATTATGTTGGGTTGATTTTTATTTTAGAAAACTAAAAGCAAAGTATAAACATCAATGGCAAATATTTTAAAGCAAACAATTATTCGTTCTTTAATTAATATATTTATTATTAAAAACAATTTTTCAACTTCTAGTTTTTAAGAGCAGCTCTTAAACTCCTTTTGTATTCGTTAAATATAAAATAGATTACATTTCGTCTCATTGGAATTTAAATTGTATTTACTTTACCGTTTGATGCGACAGTCACTTTTTCACTCGACTGATGCAATTTATCTACTGTCTCCCCATCCATTCGGAAAGGGCTCAATAAATTACCTTCTGGAAATTGAATTCTAGCGACAAAATAAATAACATATAAATTAAAGAGTTAAAACGGGACAACCTACTTAAACATTTTTAAAGAAAAAATGTGTTAAATTTAAAGTTCCGCTTATTTAATACCAAACAAAATAAATTCCCTCCAATAAAACACTTTGAGAAATAAATTGGTATTTATTGAAAATATTAGTATTTAGGCTAAACAAATATATTTGTTGTTATTGTTGGCTCCTGCAAGCTTGGGAAAGTTTCTAGAGTCCGTCACATCCTTCAGCGTCAGCCGTTGAGTTCCGCTCCAGAACCTAACTAAACTTCAATTGGGCACCGCCTTGACTTTTATAACCCAGTCCAGCCAATAGGAGCCGATGCTATATCGAGTTCGTGAAATCCAGATCAGGGGGTGGGATACATTGGGGTGGCTGTTTAGAAAAGCTAATGTTAAAAAATGAAAGCTAATGGGTTAAGCTTGAAAGCTAGCATAAAAATCTGGGGGAAATTTACCACTATTCGAGGGAAATTCAAGCTAACAGCTATGTAAGTAACATTAAGATTGGAGAAAACATAAGATGTTACCCGTAACATTCTTGTTTACAGCTCAATTTTACGGCTAAAGAGAGAACTCTGCAAAATACCAGAGAGGTCGGGGCAGCTGTTATATATTTAACATTTAAGCAATTTGGCAAAGGGAAAATGTTAGCAACAGCAATGTATGCTTTTAAAGTAATGTTCAGTAAAATATGTTAGGCATAGTATGTAATATTAACAGAAATGTTAATTATAACATATTGAAAAACATTTTAAACTCTTTAGAAAAATGTTAGTAACGGCAATGTAAGCATTAAAAGTAATGTTCGGTAAAATATGTTAGGTGTGGTATGTAATATTAACAGAAATGTATCTTTAACATTTTGAGAAAGGCTGCATACTTTTTAGATAAAAATGGCAACTTTTTAATAAAAATTTGCAATTATAAGGAAGATTAAAATAAAATATACTTTTTTTAAACCCAAATAAAGCTCGAGAATAATTTGATATTTTAAGCCAACAAACAAAGCCAATAACAAACCCATTGAGTCCCAAAATAAATGGTCGCGTAAAAAATGCATAGTAAATCGTGACAGCCATTCGACATTGGATACTTTGGCTTTTGTGGTTAAAACAAATTAAGTGGAATTAATTTGACTTTGCCTGGCTTTTCACCTGTGCATCTGCACACTCATTCGCACACACTCAGCCGTTTGCATGTGCCTGTGCTTGTGCATTTATGATTTCGGAAAAAGGCCTCGGAAAAGCAAGTCTCGAACAGCCTTTGTTTGTAATGCTCGTTTTGCTGTCTCGCTGTTTCTGACATTTCGAGTGGTTTTTCCCCCCAAACTCCTTTTCCCATGCATTAAATATTCATCATGGAAAAAGCCCCGGCAACTGGGTAAGGTGAAAAAAAAATGGGCGAAGCCTCCTCCCAAATACGTGCAAATATATCCTCCACATACATATAGATATGAAAATATATATCCATATAGGAGATGTTTATGGTAATTTATACCCCGGTGCGGAGATTGAAATTCATGTAAATAAATTGCACCTGTAAAAATAATTAAAGTTGAAATCGCTCGCTGGCTGGCTAAAATATGAACTCCACCTTTCACTTGCCAGTGCATAAATTTACCCGCTCACACACACACACAGCCATTTATATCTGGGCTACGATATATACGCTTGGGCTGGCTACTTGTTATTTGTTATATAGTGGCAAGCAAAAAAAAAAAAAAAAAAAAAACAACTACAAAAAATGTCGAATAAAATAAAATGAAATAAAAACCTTCAGCCAGACGATGGAGCACTCCAAGTTGTGGGACCTTCGTTCCAAAGTGCGGGAACGTCGCTTCAAGTGGACTTCAGACGCCCAACAACAGTGTGCGAGTGCAATAACAAGGACGATCCACGTGAAAAAATTCTTTTGCCATTTTTCAATGGGTGCCAAAGGTTGGGGCTAGTGGGCGGAAAACAAGTTGAGGCTGGGCAGGGCAGAGCAGGGCAGGTGCGACGCCAACAACAAATATTTTTATAATTTCCTTTTTGGTGGAAATTTGCATTTTTCTGTTGCTTTGCGTTGTGTTGTGCCTGCCATTTCCGCTTTGCGCTTTGCCACTTTGCCATTTCCGGTTTTGACGGCTCGACGGGAATTTCTATTCCTTAGCCATAATTGCAAAGTTCCTCCTGTTCCTGCGGCACCTTGGGGGCCAGCTCCCCCACCCCAACCCCCAAAGGCTATCCACGCAAACAATTCCAAGTGATTTTCAATGTGTATGTGTAAACGAAATTAAGCAATTTCAATTTTCCTAAGGTCTTTTCACGCTCCACAGCAGTTCACTTAATGATTTCGCCATGGCAAGAAAATTTGTTGAGAACTCTGAGAACTCATATGAACAGCTCTTCCAATGAATAATTACTGATTGATTTATCAACTTGTCTACCTCTAAATGCGGATTTTCATTTAATACGGGCAAAAATTGAAAGCATTTAAGTATTAAAGCCCCAAACAGCCAACGCATCCAGCCAGCCTGCTTTGCATAATAACAACTCGCTGACAATTGATTACGCATTACTACAATTTAATTATTAACATTAATATATCAATTTGTATTTAACTCATCCTGTTCCTGTTAAACGCAAATTTATTTGTCATTTGTTAAGTCTTTAATAATTGGCACGGTCTCTGGGCCAACAAGCCAACAGCTAGCCAACAACAAGCCAACAAGCCTAATTAACATTTAAAATTATCAGTTGACATAAATTGTTTGATGGCCATAAATATCTGTGCCGACGAACGGAGGCAGCCAACTTTGCAGACATCGCAATATGAAATGCACAAAAGGACAATAAGGAAACCAGTTCCGATTGCCGTTTTCCTCTTCTTCTCGTTGCCACGCCGCAACAATAGAGCGAGATGGCCACAAGACCGAGTGAAAGAGATGGGGCGGCGAATAAAAAGCAAATATATCAAAGCGAGCAAGGGGCATAAATGTAGCGTAATTTAAATAAAATTGCATTAATATGTTCTCTCCGCCGTAAAGGATACCCACCCAGATACCCAGATACCCAAATGCCCAACTGCAGCCTGTGTCCTGGGCAAATTTCCAGCGAAAAAGAAGAGCTTTTCCGTGCCTTTTCCCGGATCTACTGGCCATATTTCATCTGAAAGCCAACAAACACACCAGCATACACACACTAGCACACACTCAACTATCGCCGGACCTCTGTTGTTCAGCAAATTCACACCAAAAATCAAAAAGCAATAATGATGCTCGAAATCTGAACAGCCGGGTCCGGGTCCCGGGTCCGGGTTGGGCCGGGAAATTCGGACGGGAGGTGTGAAAAGCGGGAGAAGCGGGAATGTCTGGGGGCACTATAAATGCATGAGTGTGTGTGTGTTTGGGCTACGTGGCAAACTTTTCGAGTATTTGTCGTTATAAATTTGACATCAATTGCCACGGCATGTGACCAACGAAGGTCTGACAGTCCAGGCACAAGGATGCCGGGATGCCAAATAGTGGAGGCAACTTCGGGCTGAAGACGGGGAGCCCTGATGTGGATGTGAGCCAAATTGCAAAAAAAAAAAATAATATAAATCCAGCTGGACTTAGGTAAGGACCGGGTTAGCGAGTGAGTCGAAATGAAGGTGGTTCCGGAGCAATTTGACAGGAAAATAGTCAATAGATTCCTTAATACGAATTAACCACTTCTTTTCTTCTGTACTTTTTTGGGATTTCTTTAAGCTCAAAGAGAACAAAGGAAGGTGTTTATCTTGTATGCCTTTAAAAAGAGCAAAAGTAGGGTGTTTTAAGGCCCTTTTCTTGATATAAAAATGTATTGTTCTTAACCATATCTATAAATATTTTATATATTTTAAAGATTATAACATTTAAAACAAAGCATAGTTTAAGCCTTAAACTAGACCGGATTTTATTATAAATTAAATTAAATTATTATTAAACCCATGAGGTGGCAAAGTGAAAAGCCCGTTTTTGTGTATACAAAACGAATAACTTTCGTACCATCGCTGAACAATTTTAATTGATGCATCAAAAGCTTATATAATTTAATAAGTGAAAATTCGAAAAAAAATGTCACAAACACCGCCCCTTGGGCGAAATTCCCATCCTGCCAAAGAATAATGACGGCAAAGAAAATAGGACACGCGCGCCATTATATTTTATATATTAATTAAAATATTAAATATGTGTACTCGCTGGCCAATTTAATTACACAAAATATTTTTGTCTAGCGGTGGAATATTGCCTTTAGTCGTGTATTTTTGAAAACCTATTATTTTTATAGCGAAATTCGAAACGGAGATAATAACATTTCCTGCATGGTACAAAATTATGTTGGAGTTTTCCTTGGAAACTCGGTTTATATTAAATTTTAATATATATACTTGGTCGTCTACTATTTCGGTTGGGCAAAATGTCCCCCTTCTACTGTGGCTCTGATGGTTAAAGATTAATTAAAATACTCGCGATGGGAGTAATAAAAATGCTCACACATACACAGAGCAGTATTATAGGCGAGTGCTGCGACTATCAGATACCCCTTAGTCTATTAACCAAGTTCTAACTTCTTAGGCTAATAAAAATTGGCTTGTAAAATTTTACGGGCGCCATCTGTTGTTCGAACCTATAATGAATTACGAGCGCCATCTGTTGTTTGAGTCTTATAATAAATTTTTATAAACGGATGGTAAAAATCATAAAAATTATGAATTAAAATTTAGATTATAGAAAATTTTATGGTTTTAATAAGTTGCGAATAATAACTTTCTAAACTAGGCTATAAAATAGGATAGTACGTAAAAAATATATTTAAGTTTAAACCGAAACTGAAATTAAATTAAATTGTTATTAAACCCATGAGGTGACACAAAGTTTTTGTGTTTTTCAAGGCTTCTGGGCATTAGATTGAGCGTGCTGGGATACACTTTCGATACATTAGGTAACTGTAGAAACTACATGATTAATTTACTTGTTCTCAGCATTCATACAGCCAGACTGACAAGGCTAAATCGATCCCTTAGCTATTGATCCGATCAGGAGCACATTATACCTTACAGGGTTACATACTTGCTAAAGAATCCATAATATTTTTCTGTTTTCTTTAAACAAATCTTTCTGTAATCAGTCAAGGTCAGTTCTTAATGACGGGAAAAATATATTACATTATTGCACTCTATGGACTTATTTGAAAATTCTATGAACAATTTTTTATAAAACTTTAGCAAAACTAAAATTCAGTTTAATTCGAGTCTCGGCAGAGAGTGGATCATAAAATGACGGCAAAAATATTATTTCTAATTTTACGCGTTTTCCTTGAAGGTTTCTACGATTTCCTGTATCAAAGGATTGGACAGGATCCGCGAGGATTACTGCGAACTGTATTGCGGCGGATCTTGTGTAAACCAAACGTGCTTTTTGTCAGGCAAAATTCTAACCACAGACGATTATACAATGCAGTTGTATTTTTCAAAATTACAAATCATTTGGACCAACCCCAGTTTCCAACAATGGAATATCTACAATATTTCGAAAGAACCCGAGTGTGAAATGCTGAAAATCACTGTGATTGGGATAACTAGTGCCCAAGATGTTAGACTTCGGCCAGGTGTACATTATCTTGGCCTGCTTGGGATATCAGAATTATATGAATACGAAACTCACACTCCTTCCATGAAGATATATGAGAATAATCTAAGCTATAAGAGACGGACCAAGGACTCTCAACTTTAAATATTTGAGTGAAAGTGCGGAAAATTCTCGAGTTACAAATGACTATATAAGGGAATGCATGAATAATACGAAACTAATCAAAATGTTTGCTAGAACCTCGGAAAAACTGAAGCTCGTAATTGAAGATAATATTTTTGAGGGCAAGTCGCAAATATATGATATAGCATTTTCCGGATTAAAAGTTGAGGGTTTGACAGAGATAACCTTCCTTGACTTGACAAATTTAACTATGATGGTATTTTCCGATGTGGTTTTGGACAATTTTGATTTTTTTAGGTATGTAAAGGACTAATTTTTATGAGCTAAACTAACTACTTTTTATAATTCAGATCTGCCACACTTCGGGGATCATTAAAATCTCTCACTATGTATATTGAAAATAATGTGGATATGAAATACTTTGACCAGTATTCCAAACTGGAAATAATTGATGTTTACGGTTTTAAGGAGTATAAAAATCTAACCGCATTCATTTGCCGGCCAAATCAAAATGAATGTTACTTTACAATGGGCACAAATGGCATTCCATGTCCCCACAACTGTCTCTGCCAATATCTTCGGGCTGAAAAGGTGACCGAACTGAATTGCTCGAAACAGAATCGTTCAGTTATCCCTGAACTACCTGTTCCTAGAATAGGAGTACCAATGTTTGTGTTTCTAGAGAACCAACTAACTGAACTTCCCTTAAACACATTAGAGGGCTATAATAGTTTGAGAAGTATGGATGTCTCACAAAACCAAATAACCAGTCTCACCATTGACCGGCTGCCCAAGGCTCTTGACTATCTGGATATAAGCTTTAATCAGATTACCACAATGAGCCCAGAAGTTGTGGATTATATCAGAAAGATAACTACTTTTCAGCAATATGGCAACAAATGGATTGTATACTGCGATGAAAGTTACCTAATTGATTATTTTTGGGAAAACTCAAAATGGTTTAGGATAAGGAGTGCCAAATTTCACCTCATTATTGAGTTTATGAATATAACAGCAAGCGCCTCGTACCTAAGCGAGTTCTTCGAACCATATCTTGAGACCTTTTACTTACATGAAGACAACTTAATACGTGAATTGGGTGATGAAAATCTTTTCTATACATATAAGCTGTTGGAAGAACTAAACAGTGCCATTTATCTGTTTGACGGCGAACATGATGAATTCATTCTACATCATCTTGATGAAAAATGCCCATATAGATGCGTTTGTTGCTTGGATCGCCAAACCGATGAGTTCATAATAAACTGCACGAATGCCTATCTTGAATTTTATCCAATTCTCCCGAACATTCTTTTGTACAACACAACGCTATATCTGGATAACAATGATATTAGAAAACTTACTGATTCTAATACTAATCTTATCATTCCGGGTCTGGCCTCCATACAGAAACTGCATTTGTCAAACAACAAGCTATTCGAACTGCCACATCACTTGCTTCCGGAGAACGTAACCTATTTAGATCTGCGAAACAATCTATTGACTTCTCTTGATGATGCATCGGTGGCTTTCTTTAGATATCGTAAAGAAATCACGGAAGTTCGCTTGTCGGGTAACCCATGGGAACTTGACTGCAAGGCCAAGTCCTTTCTGATATTCCTCAGGGAACGCGAGCCCAAGGAATACGAGGCAGTCCTTCGTCGTGTGAATATAACGCAGGATGAGTGTCCTAAAGCGTGCATTTGCTGTTTGGGCACCTCCAAATCCGAATCGTTATCACTTATCATAGATTGTAGTAACAAAGGTCTACGGGAGATACCTCCACTACCCACGCCTACTATTGGCAGCACAACTCTCATCTTTGATAGGAATCTTCTCAAGGAATGGCCCTCCAGCTCACTACCAGGATACTCAAGTGTGTCACGATTTTATTTGGCCAACAACCGATTGACCTCTATCAACGAACTACCAACTATTGTCGACTATCTGGATATAAGTTATAACAATTTCTCAGCTTTAAGCAATCGTGTACGAGATTTTCTACAGAAGAGAATGAATTCTAACCGTATAAAGTTGGTTCTCTCTGGAAACCCCTGGACTTGCAGTTGTGAGGAAAAGGAGTTCTTGGCCTTTGTAAAAGAGCAAGCCAAAAATATTGGCAATGCATCAGCAGTTCAGTGTAGCGATACTGGCAAATCACTGATTGAAGTTGAAGAGATTGACATCTGTCCCTCTGTCCTTATCTATTATACTTCCCTTGCCGTTTCCCTATTGATTATAGCTCTGTCCATTAACGTCTTTATATGCTTCAGGCAACCAATTTTGATCTGGTTTTATGAACATGAAATATGTCTGAGTCTGGCTGCCCGGCGAGAACTCGACCAGGACAAAAAATTCGATGCATTTCTATCATTCACTCACAAGGACGAAGAGTTGATTGATGAGTTTGTGGAACGACTGGAGAATGGCAAGCATAAGTTCAAGCTTTGCTTCTACATGCGAGATTGGCTGGTGGGCGAGTCCATACCCGAATGCATTAACCAATCTGTCAAGGACTCCAGACGCATTATCATCCTGATGACGAAGAACTTTTTAAAGTCCACCTGGGGGCGACTCGAGTTCAGGCTGGCTCTTCATGCCACCTCAAAGGATCGATGCAAGCGCCTCATCGTGGTCCTCTATCCGGATGTGGAGAACTTCGATGATCTGGATAGTGAACTGAGGGCTTATATGGTTTTGAATACCTATCTGGATCGAAATAATCCCAACTTTTGGAACAAACTGATCTATTCGATGCCACACCTTATGCTGAGGCAACAGCTGCAGGGAAATTCGTTAGATATTGAAAGAAATATATAAGAAAAAGATATGAGTTTGTTGAGATTTTTAAGAGATATATAATCGGAACTTTACTAAATCATTTCAGTGATAAATTCACATCTACAATAAAATACTTAAGATATGAGAAATATTTCAAATTTAATCTATAGAATAAATATTTAACAAAACTGGTATATTTGTATTCATTGTAATTGTTCTTGTAATACATTTAAAATTAAAATGAATACATTTTGTAATTTCATTATTTAAAATTCCCGCCATTTGGAAGCTGTTAAAGGCTGAGTGTTACAGAACTAAAAGATTTTGGCAGCCCTTGTTGCCTGAAAGAACCACTAAAAATGTTCCAGGACTCTGTATGCAGCCCCTGAGCTTCTGTTATTTCACCTCATTTACAGCACTATATTAACGCGAAAGCTTAACTTTGTATATTAGGTTGTTTGTAGATATTTATACCCATTACTAGTAAAATTAGAGGGTATATTGTGAACGCTGTAACGATTTTAGCAGATCTAATTAACAGTTTCCCACCTTATAAAATAATAAATTATAAACCAGAAATCAATGTCCCAATCAAAAGAGTATGTCCATATAAAGGCGGAGACCTCGGGAGCTATAAGATTTACATATTCCTGCGCAGCCTATGATTATTTTAAATCTAAATCTTATCTTCATTAGCGCACGTAAGCAGAAATCTACTCGCCTGTTAGAAAATGTGAAAAGTTTTATTTTAAAAAAAAATTCGACAAATCTTGGGTCCTTAATTAAAGAATAATGCAGTAAGTTTCAATATATTTCGAGGGAACTTGCATTCAGCGTTGAAAAGTAGAATGTCCGGACTCAAGGAAGGAAGAGCTATACATTCAGTTAAACTAACTAATATAGTTTTTTCCAAGAATATTAAACTGACTATTCCAAAACTCTTAAAAATATTTCTTGTTGAATGGAAAATTTAAAATGTCAAGTATTCGATTTAACTTGAATAAAATTATTCAAAGAAATCGATGCCTATCGATGACATTGCTTATTTGTTAAAATACTTGAATACGTCATATGTAAAACAAATGTAAAACTTTTGTAAAATATCTTGCGGTATAAAATTGGTTACAATAATGCGAATCAAGTCATATATGCGCCGTTTTGTTCGATGACTCGTTCCCAACGAGATGCCAACTTCATAATGCCCCTCTCGTAGAAGCTCGCTTCCCTATTGGCAAAAAACTCGGAGCGTGGCGCATCTTAGACCATCTCTACACCAGAACGAAAACGTTGATACCATCGTTGTGCGGTGGAAATGGAAACTGTATCCGGTCCATAAACTGCACAAATTTTATTGGCGGCTTGAGGTGCATTTTTGCCTTTATCGTAGTGGTACTGTAAAATATGCCGTATTTTCTCTTTATTTTGCTCCATGACTGCGACGTGAAATGAGCTTTCCAAAAAGGTATTGTATGACCTGATGCGATGAATACAAGAACTACGCGCTTTCAGCGTCAACTAGCGAAAATATGCGAAAAAATGTAAAATGTAAAATACATGTATATGCAACATGTATATGTAAAATACATGTATATGTAACATGTATATGTAAAATACATGTATATGTAACATGTATGTGTAAAATATATGTAACGTATATAAAAAATTTTTGTCAAATCAATTTCAAATATCCTTTAAAAAAAGGCTTAAAAAGGAAAGTCTAGCCCCTTAGCAGATAACAGAACGAAAAGCTTCAATATTACTTCATGTATGTAAAGGTGCAGTAAGGTCTGTGTAATGTAAATAAAGGCATGTATGACTAATTTTAATAATTTTACACTTTGAAGTTTAATATAAGATATAAAACTACTTTAAACTTAAGGTGGTGATAAATATAAAAAACTTATCAAATTATTGCAAACTAATAGATTTCATAAATCCACTTTTAAATCAGGTCAAGTTGTATAACGTAAAGTAAAATTTTTGTGAAAAATCCAAGCGCTTCTTTGATCTCTTCTGCCTCTTCCGCAATAAAGACACTTTCCGGAGGCTAATGATGTGTGAAATCCTTACCCGAGACAAGCTGCCACTTAACAGGGACTTCTAGTGGAGTAAGCCCCCGTTTGCACTCCCACTGCTGAATCACTTAGAGCTACCCTTCGTTTTTCAATTTCTCGCGCCTTTCCCAGGAGCATAAACAAAAGTGCAAGCGATTCGTCGTCGGGGGAGTTGAGCAGGTGCATTCGGTGGGTATGCATTTTGTTGGGGATGCAGCTCTCTCTCTAGGATTGTGGTGATGATGAGGACCCCGATTTGAAATGCACATCACGTTTTTAGCCACTTTTTCGGCGACAGGCGACAGGCGGCAGACGAATCGGAAGGACGCCAAAATGTGGTTTGGGGGAATCGCGTGCAGACTAAACCATGGCACGTGTGCTCCACCACTGGCAGTGCCCGTATTAATCTTCATGCCTCCACCATCCTAGGGAGTGGATTTTAAAATGCATATTATTTTTTGTAATATCTTTCCATCCCTCAAAGTGATGTATTATTATTCAATCAGTGATGCAACATTTACATTTCATGAACAATGATTAGCAATTGTTTGGGAAAACAAATTGCAATTAAAGTAACCAACTAATTGAGGTGTCTCCACGCAGCTCTTATTGTAACCTTAAATTAGGAGGGATATTCAGCATAACTTTGGTATTTTATGGGCTTATAAGAGGGAAGAGCTTATAAGCTTTTTCCTAATTATATTCTCTTGGCACAAAATCGCAATTGGCACATTTTATTGTTTACTTTATTTTAAAAGTTGTCAGCCAAAGTTTGGCTCTCGGTTAGGACAACTTTTCGCATTTGGCCAGCGATTCAGTTTGCAGTTCATATATTGCTGTCGTTGTTTGAAATTTATGCAGACAGTTGTTAAAATTATGCAAACAACGGTTTTGGTATGTTATTGCTTTGTTTTTACAGTTCTTAAGTGGGTCAAGCTAAGTGGAAAGAGTGTTTAATTACGCTAAAAGGAAGCATCATTTGGGATTTTATTTATCTGGGAAATGGTTGTTGGAAGAAAATAATGTAAAAATTGAAACCACTATATCAAAAGCGAAAAATTGTATAATTTAATGCAACATCAAAAGTAACTTTCCAACCAACTTTCTTTATATTTAAGTTAGGGGTCTTCCTTTTCTTCAAAACGGATGGAATCCATTACATAATCGAGGGCATAGATCCCCAGGGAGCTGCGCCTGCAATAGATCATCATTTGCATGGCTTATAAATGTTCTATAAATTTCTTGCCAAAAACACCAAAAGGGGGAAAACGGAAAACACTTTAAGGCATACAAAGACTTCGATTGAAATATAAAAACCACAAGAACCCAAAGAATAAAATAAGGAAACGGAAATGAGAGAGAGGGAGACCCCCAAAGGGGGGTCGTGAGCGGTCATAGGACAACACTAAAAAGAAGGCAAATTTTATTTGCATGCGGCTTTTCATTTCCTCCAAGAACATAAAAAAAAAACAAATGCCAGCCAGGGGAACCTTCGGGGAACCCTTTCGATGATGGAAAATAAAGAAGAGTTGTAAAACGAGGAAAAACGGGGAAAACAGAGCGAGCGAAAGAGAGCGGGAGTGAGAGTTAAAGCGAGACGAGGTGGAGAAGGCGCGGCGTCTTAACAATTTCCTGCCAACTTCTGCTTCATTGCATATTTCCGTTTCCTACAGACTGGGCTAGTCTTGGCCCACTGCAGGTCCCTCAGCTCCATAGCCTAGAGTCCTGAATCCCGAATCCTTGCACATATGGAAAAGCGACGACAGGCGCCCTATCTAGCTTTCTCTTTTTTTTTCTTTTACGATTTGCAATTATTTTTGCTCATTTCAGCAGAAGCAAATATGCCCACAATTCCTTGAGGGACAAATGGCAGACATAGTCCCAAGTCCTGTCAATACAAATAGTGCCAACTGTTTTACCGCCCACCGCCCACCGTCCTACCCGTCCTCCTCCTCGTCCAGGACAATTTACATAAGTTGATATTTTTCGAGTTGTTTCACTTTGACAACCCCCCATCTAGACTTCGATTCCTTCGTGTTTTGTGTGTGTTCTCAGTTATTTGTCCGCCTGACTAACGTTCTTAGACGAACTTGGCAAAAGGAGACTGGTTTGCGGTGGATTTACAACATGAAAAGCATTTTAGCTGCAACGGAATCAGACTTGCATTCAGTCTGCCACTTTGCTACCCATTTCCTTGACTTTTCCCAGATATCATTGCTTCGGGGAGGTAACGACAATTGTCTTCGGAGTCCTCCGCTGAGTGGTTTATTAATTCCTGTAGGAGTAGGAAAAAAGCACATGGCTCAGAGTCGTAGTGAAATGGAAAATGCAATAAGTCAATGCTTAGAGGGAAAGTGAAAAAGGAAATCTAATTCTAGTTACAGTTTGCTGATGAATCGAGTTGTCCACTTTCTAATTAAGCCAAAGCTTTTTTTAGCTTAGTTAAGTTGATTAAATTTTAAAGTCCTGGAGCCAAGAGCCCCTATATCTAATGACAAGCAGCTGTCAACATGTGGCGTTAGCCCTCATGCCTGAACCAACCAAACCTCTTCTTACCTTTCCCTTACCAAACTTCAACCTTAAAATTGCCCACGTAAAAAGCGGAAAAACAGGATGTTCCCCGGCAATTGGCAAATGAAAATAGAAAAAAAAAGTGCCAAAACATTTGCCTTTTTGAAGAGGATTCACTTCCAGCCCCACACCAATTGGCCTTCTCATTCCCCATCTTGAATCGACGAGCGTGTGCAGAAAATCAAAATAAAACGCTTTTCGTTTCATTTGCAATGAAATTTTCGCAAGTGCCGGGCCTGTCTTTGTTTTGTCTGCTCGCCATTGCCTGCCATTGAATGGAAATCGTTTTCCAATACAGTATTGAATTCAGTATACGACTATATATATATATATAGCGAGAGAGAGAGAGAGTTTTATCCCTCCAATAGCAGTTTTGGGCATTTCCTATGCACGTCATGTGGGCAATCAGCGCTCATGTCCATGGGATACTTCTTCTGGTTTTTAGACCCATTCCCTTCCCTTTGGGATATCTATTTCCAGTTTTATTTCTCACTCGGCCCATGAATATTTAACTGCCAACAATTGGCTATGATTGTTATGTTTGCCGCTGCCTCGTGTTTTACAATTAGAGAGGATTGAACTAAAGGCCAAAGGGATTTTTTGAAGTTCGAGATTGATTTTTCCTATACACATTTTTTATTCATCAATTTTCTTAAGGTTTTTCTTACTTTGCCTGTGCAAAGAAATTGCAATTTTAACGCATGACAGGGCATTCTCAATGCGCTCCAAGCCAAAAATATAAAAAAAAATAAAAGAAATCCCTCACAAGCACTTGAGCCATTCTCTATTTTCCTACTTAGACATCCTCGCGTAATCGAATATATATAAATTGAATTTTTCACAACAAATGGATTTCTCTGAAGAGTTTTTCTTTGCCAGTTTACCTCTCGACTGCATTCAAATGAAATAAGCATAAGATTAATATTATGCATTAAATTTGAGGGGACTTCCAAGATTTTGCTGACATTAAAATTGTTGATATATAAAAAATGTTTTCTTAGTCCTTAAATGTGCCAAGTTGTTTTATAGTCTCTCAATCTAAGGGCTGGGAAGTCAGAATAATTTCATTTTCTTGGCCTTGTTCCATACCAGATTGCCAATTTTCCTATAATTGAAAAATGTGGACAAGAATTTATGGGACAGCTTATGGTTTGCTTAGGAGGAAGAGGTCTTGAGTTATTTTATATAAAAAATATTAAAAACTTATTGATTATTTTACTTTTCTATTTTTGGTTTCACTTAACTTCCCTCGGCAAACTTTTCGCGATTTTTCTCACGCATTTTCCTCTGCCTCCTTGTCCCTGCAAATTCTCTGTCTGATTGAATATTTTGTTCGTTTTTTTCATTTTAAGCTGTCGCCCGCACTTGTACAATTTTCTCCTCAAAGGCGTGTTTTGCACTTGATGCTTACATATATATATTTTGCATTTATTGTGGCCAGGACCAGACCAGATATAATGTAAGCTAGTCACGTCTAGCCACTTGTGTCCCAAGCCCAAGTTCCAGCTTTTACCAGGTTTTCCCCTTCTATGGCCATGTCCTGCTGTCGTTTCTCGTGCTCCTGCTCGTGCCTTCACATTCACTTAGAACAAGGCTGGGCTAAACCTCCTTTGCATATTGATATGGGAAAATCCTCTTACCTTTCATACATTTTTCGCTCCCAAAATAAAGACCTATTTTTAACCGAAATATGAGTTAGTAATTCGACATAATAATGTCCCCGAAAAGGGCATTCTTTGCTAATTGTTTTGCATTTTAAGTATTTTTAGAGCGCGTGCTCAAGTGTCGTGTCTAGACGAAAGTTTTCGCTCTCGCCAGGTAACGACCGAAAACAAATTAAAACAAACGAAAACATTTTTGGGAAAACTGACCAACCCCAAGTATAAGCAGCCTTTGGAAATTTTGTTGCAAATTGTTAACTCGTGTCCCATAAAAGTGCACATAAAATCACAAATAGCGGGTGGGCGAAAAGGGGTTAAAAATGCGAAGAATGGTTTGAGAAATGGGCGGGGCACTCATACCAATTCCCAAACATTTTCACATGGCACGCCAAGCAATTAAAGCGGCCCATCGGGTTGCATGTGGCAAACTTCTGGTTCCTAACTGGCGCCCAAATGGCGGACATGACGACGGCGGCGCCTCAATGTCAGGCCATTAAAGTTTAGTGGGCGATTTTGCATAGGGTTCTTAGCTGAGAGAAGACCCCAAAAGCTCCTTCGAAAAAGGATACTGGCCAAGACGGCAGCAAAATGCAGCAGACGTTTAGCCTTGCCTTCCCTTCCCATTCCCGAAAAACTTTCAGCCGAAGCTCATCAAGCCGAAAAAGTTTTCCCAGCGATAAATCAAATTTTTTGCGTTTGCTTGTTAACTCGTTCGCTTAAATTAAGTTCAACATTAAGGCGGCAAAATGGTAGCTAAAATTTTATGTAATTTTAGGAATTTCCTGTAGGACGGGAAAATGGTGCGGAAATGCGGCGTCGCAGCTGACAGCTAATGAAAATGTTTGCCGGAAGGGGCGTTGCAAGTCCTTAAGGGTCCTGTAATTAGCTGAGTGCCAAACTGGGCTTGACTGGCTTTGAATAAATGAATTCAAGTGTTTTGGCAATGGTCTTGGGAAATGGAAAATTGAGGTTGAAAATGGTTAGACTGGTGGGCATAGAATCGAAGGAAATAAGCAACTTGGATCTTAAAAAAAAACTACAGCTTTAGAAACTGAGATACTTTTTCATTATTGATAAAAATAATTCATAAATAAGTTTAATTTACTTGTCCTCTAAAGCTATCCTCTTTTTAAACCTATCCATTTTTAGGCTTCAATATGATTACTATTCGAATACCCTAAGTAGGAAATCAAAATTAACTGAGGCTTACTACACTAACCAATCGCATTTATCTTTCCATTTCCTTAGTTTTCTCCAAAACTAACAAAGATTAGATCAAAGACAAACTTATATTTTGTATATTTACCTACTTAAACACAATCCCAGAAAAGCATCTCTGATTAAACAGCAATTTGGAGTTGCTCATCTCGGATTTCCCCTTGACATCCATTAAATCCAAGCGCCACCATTGCGTGTGCGGTCCCACATCAGTGCAGCCACTAACGGGTCAACAGCCCATTTCATGTGATTACTCAGAAAACACAGCTCAGGGAGGATAACCTTTTCCGATTCTCAGCTCTGTCCCCCTTTCTCTGTCCCCTTCTTTCCGCCCAATCACAATGGCAACAGCAAGTCCCTAAGCTCAGAACGCTTGTTATTGTCATTGTTATCAACGCTGTCAGTGCAAATGGCGAGACCGAAAATAGCAACAGCCACTGGGACAGAAGGACATTCATACTGGTTCGTCCTGCTGCAATGTCTCATGTGGGCATATGTTAAACATTTTGACACTTTTGCGCACACGGTTCAGCCGAAAGCCTACGACATCCGCTGAACTCTGACATTCTAATGGTAGTTGATGAGGGTTCTTCCGCCTCCCCCCAGGAATTCCTCACTTGGCAACTATTTTTAAATTTACAAATGCTAGTAGAGAGAGAGAGAGAGGGAGCGGTTCTTCCTACAATTTGTTACAATTTGCTTTAGTTTTAGTGTTATTTTTGGGTTGTGTATGTAGATTGGATTGTGTAATTTTGGGTGTCAGTGCGACGATAATCAGCGAACTGAAATCAACTGCCGGCGAAATTTTACATGGGGATCGGCAAAGTGTGGGTATTCGACCGACTAAACCACTTTTGGTGGCTTCGCACTGAGCTTTGCCGTGGTTGCTGTTCGATGATTTTGAGGATAGCACACCGTATCGAGTTATATTGAAACTTAATTAAGTGCATGGGGACCAGGGCAAAATCCAAACCCTGGACCCTGGAGCTGGAATGGAAAATGATTGTACAGCGGTTGCTGGTAAATGTTAACCGATTTGGTTTTGGTTAGGCAAACTGGTTGCTAATTTTTACGATTTAAATTGAAGTCAAAAGGGGGTTAATGGTATGGTTCTGAGTATAGTAAAAGCTTGAATAAGCTTCGAAATAATTTAAGTTAGCCAAGCATTTTTAGGACCTGCTTTCCAATAATGGCTTTATCTACATCTTAAGATACTCCCTCCAAAACCTGTAAGTCTTAAAATTTAAATTCATTTGCCCTTCGATAGGATCTTTGGGCTCTCCATGCTTACCGAAATATCACCTTTTACCAGCAATAAAGAATTATGCAGAGACAGTTAATACCCGCGAGACAAAAAGCGGCTGGCTGGCTTATCGCCCCAGCCACCGCCCCAACAAATTTTCGGGTATAACAATTTTCAAATCGCTTCCTTTCGGCTGGTAGCGAAATTTTTGGCGAGTAAACACCCCTCCATTTGAACGATTTCCCCCCCAGCATTGTGTCTGCCAATTTACGTTATCGTTTTCAAATTGAAAATTTGCGTAATCACATTTTAAGTGAAAATCGCTTTGCAAATTAAATTAAATCGATTTTCTCGAAGACGATGGAAAGGAGGAAGTTACAAAGCTTGTAAATATACATTATGGTTTTTCATTTCCGTTTCCGTTTCCGTTTTGGCACTCAAGCTTAAAGCTCTGAAAATAATATGCATCTGCAGTTTTCTTTTGGTGTCTGCATAGTCGCGACACTGCATCTCAAAGAACCATCAACGTCATCAAATCGTTAGTCAAATACGAGAAAAACAAAAAATATTTAAGTTCTTTGCTCTTCTCGCAAGTCTCTCGTGGCAATAAAAATGATGAAGTACTTTCGGAGTAGGAGAGTGGGAGTGGTCTGGGAAAAAAGAACCCAAGGAGCCAAGGAGCTGAGAAAGCTTGCATTCCAGGCATATCCTTTGGTTTTCATATATACTGAACCATGAACAAGAAGGGTCTATTGAAAATCCTGAAGTGCTTGACTTCTTTAAGGGTTTTCTAATGCTTCATGATTGATATTTTTGGACTCTTTAAAGAACTTGGTTCATAATCAAATCAGAAGATAGGCAAGTTTATTCAAACTTTCTTATAAGCATTGAGTTTCTATTCGAAAATAAAGGATGTCACATTTTCCTAACATATCAGTCATTATCAATCACTTTATTTTAGCCATGTATTTTATACTTCCTTTTATATGGCTTGTAATTTTGAAGCCCTCAGCTGCCGTGATCGTTCCAGGAGTAACAATAAAAGAGCGTAAGTTCTAAGATAACTTTTATTTAGTTAACATAAAAAACATGTTTTCCTAGCAAAATGCTGGTATGTGGCCAATCCCGGACCCTGTGATAACTTTGTTAAAAGTCTGGGGGTACGATTACATAACTAATCGCTGTATTTTCTTCTACTACGGCGGCTGTGGAGGCAATCCAAATCGTTTCTATACGAAAGAAGAGTGTTTGGACACCTGTAGGGTATACAGACCACCAAGCCGGAAGAAAAGAGAAGATGAGCCAGATGAAGAGGAGGAGTTTGAGGAGGACATTGATGACTGGGACAAGTTAGATGATTTTGACAAGATGGAACTTTGATTTCAGTTACCACAAAAGGGTATTCAAGAATCGCCTTTAAGGCAGAAGCTAAAGGCCTCAAGTTAACTTTTGATTCGTTGTGCAAACGCATAATTTCAGTTTGAAAGAAAGAACTTCCCGTCGAGTTGCTTGTAATGCGTTTTCTTTTTAGCCATCTACTGCATTTCTGTTTTCCCATTTCCACGGCCGTATCTCTCTAGACGTCTGTTTGCTGCCAATCTGAGCCATGGCCATTAAGTCAGTTTGAAGCAATTTGAAAGCTAGAGTCTGTGTAGCTATATCTATATATAACCCAACTCCAACGGTTATTTATCAACAATTTTATGTGGATACAGATGCTATTCTGACAATTTTTGACATGCAATTTGCAATATTCCATTTGCCACAGCCATAGTTTTCCTGCTGATTTTCGGCATTTTCCCGCAGGCTGCAATAAGTTTTTGGCAACGAATGCAGATGAGGCTCATCATTGTTGGATGCTTTGGCCCAAAGAATCCTCAGGGGAAAATGCGCAACTGTCTGAGGGAGTAAAACTTCCTGGTTTCCAACTTGAATTTATGTTCGCCCACGGAAAAAGAGTCACAAAAGAAAAATGCCCTGCTAATTGGAAAGAATTTTGTTTGCCTATTTCTGGGCTCTTTACATGGGATCTCCGCTCGTTAGGCTTAATTAGCAATCATAAAAGTTGTTCCCAGTTAAATGCCGAACATTCTTATTTGGTCATGTGACACTTTCGTGTCCTGTGGTGTCTCGACCAGCAGGATCTCAACCTGAATCCTGGCCATAGGAGTTGCCACCTATTTCACTTTCCGCTCACGTTGCTCTCCTTCCCTCCTTTTGTTCGTCCCCAAAGACTTTTATGACTGATTATGCTGTGTTTCGGCCATTTAATTGCCACTTGGCTCTGGATGTGACTACTTTTATGGTTAATGAGCAACTTGTGGTAATTTAAGGGGCCTCGGGAATGACAGGGATCAGGTGTGCAGACAATGCCTGGTCGGGGCGGGCCAATTAAATGGGTAATATTACAAGGCTGGGGGTTGAGGACATATAAATTAAAAAGAATGGTTGGTTTTGAGGTGTTAGAAGGGGAAAAGGTCTGAGGAAATGCTTTGATTTTAGCAGGTAAGATAAAAGGACAAAAACTATACTTTTAGGGAGGATATGCAAGGTTGTACTTACTCTTATAAGGGTTAAAAGTGTACGAGATTGCACTTAAGTACCTTCTGTTGTTCAAAGGCCTTATTAGGTCTTCAACTTTAGCTTAAAACTTATGAAACTTAAACTTAAAATCCATAAAATGGCCACTATCAATGACCCTTACCATATCTACCATAACATTTATCTTTTGATATCTAAATCAACAACTTCCTTCTTGCCATCCCAACTCTGACATCATCTGTTGCTGGTGTCCAACATCGTTTGACTCTTCCATTGCCAGTTCAACGATTTGAAAAATCGCTTACAATAAATTAAATTTCAGTCAGACTTGTTTCCGGCTCGACACTCGGTCTCAAAAATTTAAATAGGTCAAATATGCATTTAATTTCCGCACGAATGAAATGAATTTGTTTGGAACTCGGCTGTAAGAGCTCTCCTGCCTCCCATTCTCTCTTTATTTTCCAGTCCCAATGCCCCTCCAGCTGTCAAATACATAAAGCACCCAGGCTGGCTGACTGACTCACTGCGAATGTCCTCCTCTGCTTCCTCCTCGAAGTCCTTTGCCATTTCCTGGGCCATGCCACCTACTCTCGAACTGTTGCTGGAACACGTGTTTGGGCCACCTTCTGTCTCGGCCATGGACTGTTCCGTACACTTAACTTATTCGGCTCCATTAAAATCTTGCTAAATAAATATTTAATGCGTGAACAACTGGTGGGGAGGAGAAGGAGGTAGTGGGAAGTGGAAGTGGAACCTCCCCGAGGAACCTTCGGAGCAACAGCCTGGCCAGATGATTTATGACCTTCGCTCTCGGCCTGGCCTTTTGTTAGGCATCCCTCCTTACAGCCAACAGCCTCATCTTCTGGGCCTGGCTAATGGTTCATAATTGATTTTTATGCCTATTGTGTTGGCCATCTTGCCCAGCGTAGGCCTCTTTCAAATGGCGCGTTCATAATTCGACGCACTGCACCAATGCCAGCCTCATTACAGATGGTTTTGCATGGTGGGTGGAGGGGGGGGCGTATTAAAAACTTATAATTCCTGCTATTGGCGGTGTTCATAAATCCCTTTTAATGCCGCAAAATGTTGGACTTAATGAAGCAGTGGCGGTCAAATGGCTTTCTGTTTAGGGCTTAACTTTCGGTGGGTGAAGAGGCCTTGGGGATTATGTTTATGAAATCAAAAATGGGGGATTTATGAAGAACCTTAAAATGAGGAAAATATTCTAAATTTATTAATTAACAACAATTGATATTACTAGATATCATTTATAACCTAATGTTTGTGAAACACAAGCAGTAAAAAATGTAAAAAAACAACGAATATTATTATACTTATTTAAAACTTTTACTTTCCCATAACCAACATTTCTCCCATCTGCCATCACATTTTCCCTCTACCTTTTCCCCATCCCCAACCACTTGATTTAATAACACCAATAAGATGCCAAAGCCAAAGCCAAAAGCCCAGACCCCAAACGTAATTCCTTCCATGTTTTCTTCAACTAAAATCTAAATAAATAAATGTCCATTTCGGACACCTACAAACGTGGCCCGTAGCAGTTCCACGGACAAGGTTTGGGTTAGCTGGGTAGCTAGAATTCCGGGCATATCATGCGTTTACTTTAATAATGCGCATAAATTGGAAGTCGTGTTTTGGACCTTTTGACTGCTTCATTCCTTGGATCCGGGAAATCGAAAATCGAGTGGGGAGAAAATGCCAGCGTTTCATTTAGCTTTTGTTTGACTTTGGCCACCATCTCCTCCAGCATCCGCCCTCACAGCTGCCATCTGTCTGCCTGTCTAGTCAGACATTGTTTTTGGATCTCCTTCCCCCCACCTCCCCAACGACCAGACTGACCCCGGGAATATTTTTGCCAGCGTTTAATCTTTAATTTTCCGCCACTATGTGGGGGATGCCCTCCCGTGCCTGTCTGTCTATCCAAGTCCTGTCCTGTCCTAGTCCCCTCTCCTCACTCTAACCCTGGCTAAATTTATTTGTTTTAGCTTCTGCCCGGGGTGAATATATATATAGTAAGGTATGCCGCATTAAATTAAATACTTAGCCGCTGCTCGGCACCGCTTGGCGTAAAAATTATGCCAGCATTTAAGTGTTTAATATCCGCCGGAGACTTCTATGGGTCCACTCGGCTCGGCTTTAGGTTTTCGGTCCGCTCTGGATATTTATTAGTTGATTTTAATGGAAAAACCCAAGGCGAGCCCTTGGCATACATAATTGTTGCGGGCGAAGACTTATGCCGAGACATAAAACTAGAGATTTTGGGAGGAGAGAGTGAGAGTCGGGGAAAGCTGATGTCATGCAAATTTAAGTGAGCTTAAGGCAAATATTTGCAGATGCTGAATAAATTAGGGAGAAAGTTATGGGATTATTAAAGTTATTCTTAGGGGAAGACTCAATTTGTTAGACTTTTGTTTGGTTTGATTTTAGTTTAAAAGATTTTTGGAGATTAAATTTTGTAAGTAGAGAGAAAGCATACATGCAGTATCTTAAAGTATGACAGCATTACTAGTCTTAATCTTCATAATAAGTACCTGTAGTTCCCGGTTTCTATACATTTCCCTGTTCATGAAGTGAATTTCCTTGTACTCCATTTCCACAGGTTAAAGTTCTCATGTCTCTGAGCACCTTACATATTCCGCCCCTAGCTCCGCCTCATTGGCTATGCTAACCTGCAATTCGTAAACCCCCTGGACAAGTTTAGCTATACCTTAAACGAGTCCCCACCCAATACCCATAGACCACACAATGCTACCCAGCTTTTGGTAACCAGAAAAACCCCCAAAGGAGGAAGCAGCAACAAAGCTGCACTCAACACAAATGCAACTGCAAGAGGATGGAGGAGAAGAGGAGGCAGGACGAAAAGGAGCCGGCCCAGACCTTGACTGGTATCCTAGCCATTCGGCTGGTTCGGCTTCTGTGGCCTGCTCCTGGCAGCAATTGTTAATAAGATTTGCACATCATTTCACGTGTCTCGGCCAACTGTCTGTCTGGGTGTTGTGCTGTATATTTGCATGCAATAAAGCCGCAAGGAGTTTGGTAGTCCTTCCTCAAACCCAACCACTACCAATACATTCATTGTCTCACACTCCACAGGGTCTATTGTCTGTTTGGCATTTTATGGCGTACATTTAAGCCGGCGACTGCAGTTGGCAAATATCAAGAGGAATGGTATACAAAAAAACCCTCTCCAAGCCCCTTGGATGCGAGCTGCATGTGCAATGGCTGCTTCGGGTCTGACCATTATTGCATTTTTTATAACATTTTTTTGACACATTTCTAATGGAATTTCCAAGGGGCCAAAGAGACAGGGTTCTTGTCCTCTCAAAATATCTTGGCCTTTAAATATTGATAAGCAATTCGGGACAGGCAGCAACGTAATCGGGCAATTTGTTATAAATAAATAACAAAGCTCTCAGTTGATTTGGATTTCTTCCTATTTCTTTCCCTTTTTACTTATTTATTGCGGAAGAAAACAAAATTAAATTGCTATAAAACAATGATTTGCGTATTTCCCAAAGAGGGTGCTACCCCAAATGAAGAAAAAAAACAACCGAAATAAAGATAATAAAAGGCGAAGGTCTGGGAAAATAAAATGCGACAAATTAATTGGAATTTATGGCTTGGAAGCGTGTGAAAAGTTCCAAGGGGAAGATATGTTGGATCCCCCCGTAGAAGATGAATGTCGATGGGGCGTCAGGGGAGATTTAATGAACAATTAGAGAGGATTAGTGGTAGTCCCTTTTTTTCGAAACTGAAACTTGATATGACCCCATTAATCCATAACCAAATCTTTTACGTTTTATTGTATTTTTCCAGCGCGTTTCTCTTTCAATTCAATCCTTTAACATGATGACAGAGTTCACCTGCTGTTGACTTCATTCGAAATTCAAAAGAGCCAAATTCAATGTGACAGCCTCCAGGCCACGGAAATTTTCCTCGATA